TGCTGATCAAATATGACAAAAATGACGACCATGACAAATGTAATACATATAAGGTCTGATAATATAGCAATCAAAAGACTTGTGTTTAACTCAATTACAGTACAATACCTGATTAACGTAACAAGTTGTTAAAAGTCGCCATCTGTGAATAATCACAATGTATCGTTTTCAACTACAAATTAAGCACCAATAGACTTGCCATTCAGACCAAACTGGTAGCGCATACAAACGATGTGTGAAAATATTCACAGAATGCAGACATTAGCATCTTATTTGTCAGTTACCTCAACCAAGCGCCTTTCTGTCGTGTGTGTGTGCTAGTTGACTGGGCTTATTAATAAATCGGTCAAAATTGAGTCAAGTTGGTATTGCACTGTAATTAAACACTTATTTCAACCAGACTATCAAATGAACAGTTGATAATGAAGTTTCACGGAAACTAATAGTTTGTTGATAATCATTTGTTTCAATTTGTTTTGATTACTCCTACAGACTTCAAAGGAGTGAGTATCTTTTCAATGACGATATCAAAAATCACCAAAATTTTCCTGAAAAAATGTTCTTCTGCTAATTGATGAAAATTTACCTAATTTTCAATATCTATGGAAATCTATCCTCTCAATTGTTCGGACAATTGGTTGAATAACATATGAGACACTCAAATTAGATGAATTGGTTAATAATCGGCAATAAACAAGCTAAAAATCTACAACCGTTTCTGTTGAATATTTGATATTCTGTCACTTTACTGTTAACAGGTTTTTTAGTTCAAAGTATTCATTGAAATAATTTCAACAATCTGTTAAATCTTCAAAAAACAGATGTTTGAAAGTTTATATTGAAAATCAAGTGTTCTTGTAGCACTTAAATTATTATAAAAGTAAAGTAAATCAACGTTTGCTTTCCATTTACAATATTTCACTCTTGATTTTTGATTGCCATTGATTCAATGAAACTTTGTATCCTTAAATAATAAGCATGATTTGATGAGGAAATGATGTTTACCAAAAAAAACATTCACTATTTGATTCAAGGATAGGCAATGAGAAGAAATTGAATTAGATTAAGGAGAAAGGTAGAAACATAATAATATTTCCTTTAACTGTCACCAAAAAAATGAAGTTAACGGTGACAGTGGAGTTGAATTATGAAGTACAATTTACTCATTTACCTTTATTACACTTGGTTGATCAGAACAAATTTTGACAACTAATTACCAACACAATAGAAACTGTAAACACCTTGGCCTGAAAATTCAAGAACTGTTGGTCATTTTCCCAGCAATCTTTGTCAAGACCGTTGATTCAACTAGAGACCAACTTGCCATTGTTTTCATTATCAGTTCTGGGTTGCTCAACTAACTTTCATCTTTCCTTTGAATATTCCTTTATTCATCTTCTTCAATCATCATAATTACTGGCATTAAAATTTTAATAGACTAAAAGGCTGAACAAAAGAAGATATCCTTGAAGGTAGATAGTAACTAGAGAAAGTAGAATCAACTTCACTGTGAAAGCTTCATTATCAAAATTCAAAATACATTGAATAAATTGAGGAATGTTTTCTTTTCTATTCTGTGAATTCAGAAAAGTCTGTGATAGTCGTCTGATCAAATGAATAGAAGACTTTAAAAGAAAAAATATTGATATTTGATTTACCTTGATTAAATATTTGACTATTGTATTTACAATAACAAATGAGTCTAAATGGGAAAACTAAACTCGTCCATTAACTTGGTAACTATGAGAGGTTGGCGATTATAATGAAGATGTTGTCAATGTTGATGAGCATGACGGTAATCAATAGATAATTTTGATGTGAAATCATCATTGATTTGAGAAGAATTTGAAGCAAAAAATAAATAAACTTGAAATAAGCAGTTCAAAACGGTACATTGATCAACTGAACAAAGCTCGGAAAATTTGAACAAAAAATGTCCATGGTTCTTCATTGATTGTTGTTGGGTTTCACTTGATTCAAAAAATTGCTTTTATGCTTGTTACTACTTTGATTGTAAAATGATAATCAAAACAAGAATAACTGTTGAAACTGTTATAATGACAACGTATAAGCCAAGCATAAATTGTCTAAAGCCTTCACCAACTCGAGATGCTGGACTAGGAGATGATGTTGAGGTGACGGCGTATGATTTGAGAGATTCATGAGCTTCTTCGATCACTCGTTTTTTAGATGAAATGATTGCAGAGTGACATTGCATGATTAGATGAATAGCGACATAAATAACAATATGAGATGCTAATATCCAATAAAATGGATCAGGCAGTTTAACTGATTTCAATGTTAAAACTGAAAAAATGGTTCCCATTGCCGCAAGATGAGCGATGTTACCAGAGGCCCAATGGATCCAGTTGAAATAACTACGCTTTGGATGGTCAGGGGAACAACGAAATAATGCACCAAATGGTTGAAAGATCATACAGACAGATGAAATAAGACCTAGATATTGGTGTAAACTGTTTCCACGCCATTGACCAACGTGAACAAATATCGAAATAATGCCGAGAATGGCAAAAATTATCGCTAAAATCATTAAACTTCGATGAAGAATGAACCATATTTTCACACCACACATGGTTTTTTCATCCCACGATTCCTTGTAATGACGGGCAATGATAATGGCCAAACTCACTATTCCAATCCAAGTGATGGTCATAAGAGATCCATGCAAACGAATCAAAGTTGGAGTTGTTGTGTCAGCTATAACTATGCCAACACTTTGTAAGCTGACTGGATTAGGAGATGAAGACCGTTCATCGTGATATGCAATTGACCCATCATCATTGAGAGGTCCATTGGCTAGTAAAATATGATAACGATTGTCTAAAATACTGAAGCTCCGGGAATGCACAAAAGCGCTAACCTTTTGAATCCACCGACAAACAAGATAACCCTCTGCTAGTGAAGGATCACCAGAAGTAACCGTTAAATTACGAGCAATGGTTCCTCTTGTTAATGTAGTAACACCACTGTGACCTCTGGTAATACCTTCACCGGCACTTAATTTACCACTTCTACTGATGTCACAATGTACAAAGATATCATCACCCATGCGACCATCAGTAGATAAACCAACGGCATACCAATGTCCAAGATCACCGTTAGAGCCAAACATTTCAAACAACATTCCATCTTTTGGATTGGTCATTGATATCATCCTCACTAGTTGTTTACATGGTACTGTTGGGTCAGTAGTGCACTGAGAAGGTAATCCAAAACAAAGTTTCTCCTTACCAATGCATGGTTCAATAAGATCATTGTTACAGTTGATTTGCAATGGCAATAAGGGAAGAACACAAATTAATAAAGAGTAAATCAAACGACGATACAGATCTATCATCATTCCAACAGTTGATAAATTAAGACCTATTAATTAAACAAAGGTAAATTTATATTAAAACAAAATCAATCCAGTGGAAAGAAAATTCTGACTTGATAAACAAGTAACAACATTTAACTTTCATCCGCTTCCAAACAAGTTAGCTTCAAAACAAGCCATCAAGGAAAGAGATTGAAAAAAGTACAAGTTGAGCGCCTTCTATCAACAGTCAATTGTAATCACTTTTAATTAAATTTTGACTTTTTCAAAATAAACTTAAAAATTTAGATTCACAGGTGTATCAATGATGAATTAAGAAACTCAATCGTGCACAATTACATTATTTAAATCAATAATTTGTTTCACAATATTAAAGTTTGGTTTACTTTCAAAATGGTTATTATAATAAATTGGGATTTTTTTCAACGTTATTGCTTCGTATAAAATGCCAATTGCTTTCAAAAAACGTCTATTATCCATGAGGAAGATATTTCAATCATTTTTGAAGTGATTAATTTTTTCCAATTCGATCGCCAACATTCAATAATCTCATAACGATAACTTTTATTTTAGTTAATATTTTGAGTCACATTTTTCCAGTCATGAAACATTTGATTTAGAAATGATTGTCTACCGACCAGCAGTTGTTCATTGCTTTTTTGAATCATGATAGTAAACTTGGAACGGTAAAACATTTGTAAAGCTAATCATTCAATTTAAACCAAAAGTTTACGGTTACAATTGCCATTACAAACATCTTATTAATAAATAACTTGCCAAGATTTAATGGCCATTTGGTTTGGACGACAAGGATGACTCATAGCTTTTTTGTCATAAATTGAAGGGGTTATCTGTGTAACACAATTACTACTGAAAAGCTTTCACTGAAAGCATATGTTTTATCTAGGTCTATAACAACCCCTTCAATTACAGTAAGGACCAAAGAGTAATGTAAGGAATCACGAACTAAGGAAAATTTAGGTTTGAGATTCAGTAAAAAAGTTCATCGTCATGTGGCTTATAACTAAAGAATTGACAAATTAGCCAGAAAATACACTTCAATTTATTGCTTAAGGCAAGTTGACCATTGATCATTGCCACATGAGAGTCAACTTTTGAGTTTAATCTACAAAATTATCATTACGTAAAGTCTCTAGTTAAATTACTCTTTGATAGAGGCTCTCTTGTCTAACGCTTTGAGCAGCATCTCGTGTTGCCATGCTACAAACTGGTTGAATTATGAACAAGTATTAATATCCAGAGATATCCAATGGTTGAATTATGTGTAGATGCGATGCAGAGAGAGAAAGGCTAAAGAAAGAAAGAAAAGAATTAGAAAACCAAAATCTGTTTAAAACAACACTTAATTTAAATTTACTAATTAAAAAACCCGATACAATCAACTTTCAATCCTTTTGTTTTTGTATTTTAAACCAAATCTACTCTATTGAGTTTAGCGCCATCTATTTTTGTTTTGTGCATTTATAGTTTTTTAAAGATTGTGGTCAGGATTTACAAACCTTAGGGTTTGTTATGCAAATGTCCCAACTGTAATCATCTTTGTGCGTCCTAACCAAATGGATCGCAGTGTAATTCTGGTGTCTTGCATTTGCTTTTTTATAATGATTTTACTGGGATTCTGGTACATAATTTTCTTCACACCTTTAGCATTAATTTATTTCCTTTGGAAATTGAGTGATGATTTAATTTATCATCCAGAAAGTCCGCCAGATGCCAGAAAGCATGTGACGTCTCCTTCAACCATGAAACTTCCCTTTACCGATCTCTATCTGACAACAGAAGATAATATTAAAATTCATTGTATATTCATCCAACAAGTTGAACAAAGATCTGAAAGCCCAGCAACATTACTCTATTTACATGGTAATGCAGGCAACATTGGCCATAGATTAATCAATGTCAGCGAGTTATTCCACGTTCTTAAGGTGAACATTCTCTTGGTAGAGTATCGTGGTTATGGCTACAGTCAGGGAAGACCAAGTGAAAAAGGTCTTTACAAAGATGCCCAATCAGCCTTAGATTATCTTCACAGAAGATCGGATATCGATAAAGACAAAATTGTAATATTTGGTAGATCCCTTGGTGCTGCTGTAGCCATTAATTTAGCGACTGTTGAACGATATCGTAATGCATTTTCGTGTCTCATTATCGAAAATACTTTCACCAATTTAGCTGACATTGCAAGAATCGTTGTAAATAATTTTTTCGTTAAACGTCTCCCGAATTGGGTTTTTGGCAACCGTTACGATTCAATAACCAAAATATCCTCCATCAAGGTGCCAATTTTGTTTCTTTCTGGTTTAGCCGATGAAATTATTCCATCAAGTATGATGAACTCACTATATCAAGCTGCAACCAGCCAGTTGAAGTTAATTTACACCTTTCCAAATGGCAATCACAATTTTACATGGAGATGTGATGGTTATTATCCAGTTATAGACCTTTTTTTGACCAAAGTATTCACTGAATATTCGCACAATAAAGCTCATCTGTCTACTAGTGACCAGCAAGACTCAAGCGACGATGATAATGAACAAGAAGAATTAGTGACATCCGTTGGTGTTTATCATAGACTTCCTGTGTAAAAACAAAGTTGAAGCTCGATTTTTTATCGAAAAGACACTTTTTAATCTCAAAACAATCTTCATTTAAAATTTGGTGACCAAAATTATTTTCTCTATGAAAGATGAATCCAGATTTTACAATTGTTCATATTTTTTGCACTGTTTGAAAATTCATTATACATTCTCATCATTTCTCACTAATCGAATGCAATATAGGTTTAATGGTCTCATCATCATCTGCAATCAAATAAAGAAAAGCTATATTTCAAAGTAAAATCAATCAATTTCCATTAATTATATTTTCGTATACATTAAAGTCTAAAATTATTATAATTCTTGGCTAGCTTTTAATAAATCAAAGATAAACCAATAAAATGAGGTAAATAATCGAATCAAACAGGCTTCAATTTTAAAATAAACTAACCCATGAATTAGTATTTCACAATCAGGACTAATCACTGATTAATTCAGGAAAACCGATTACATTCAGACTTTTAAAACTAGAAATTAGCGCGCTATTTGTTAATACCACCATCTTTTGTTGTAAAATGTAACCAATAAGTAATTGGCGCCATCTTGCGCAGTTTGATATTCTCTCATTTATCTTGCTTATCGTGCTTTGACTAAATTAATTGATGTATTGATAATAAATTGTGCTGTGAAAATCATAATCTTTTATCGTTTTAGGTTTAAAAAACTTCTTCAAGCTTATTGAATTCATAGCTAGATTCATCGTCTATTAAATCATGTCATTGATTTGTGCTTTAAGTAATGAGCTACCTGAGGTTCCAGTTGTCTCACCGGTTTCTGGTTCAATTTTTGAAAAACGTCTTATTGTTAAATATATCAAAGAGCATGGAAAAGATCCAATTAATGGAATTGAATTAAATGAAGATATGCTGATTGAAATTAAAGTTCCACCCATAGTTAGACCTAAAGCACCGTCAGCTACTAGTGTCCCAGCTTTACTGAAAACCCTTCAAGACGAATGGGATGCAACTGCTCTCCATGCTTTTCATCTTCGTAAACAATTGCAAGCCGCTAGACAAGAGTTAACTCATGTTTTGTATCAACATGATTCTGCATGTCGTGTTGTTGGTCGATTAACAACAGAAGTAACAGCAGCTAGAGAAGCTTTGGCTACTTTAAAACCTAAAACTGATCCAAATATTTCATTACAAAATGTTTCCAATAATAGTTTCAATAATGGTGATCATTCAATGGAAGGTAAGATACAATTTTTTGTCATCTCGTGCTATTCTCTCATGTGACTTTTGTATTTATTTATGTTATTCTTTTTATATCTTAAGAATTGCGACCCGAGGTTGGTATTACTCCTGATATCTTGGAAAAACTGGAAAGCAAAGCAGCAGTATTGACATCGGAAAGAAAGAAACGAGGTAAAAGTGTACCAGAAGGTTTAGCCGATATTGATACCATTAGAGAAATGAAAACCGTTGCTTCACATACGGGTCTTCACTCAGCTAGTACAGCTGGAATTGTTTCACTCGATATTTGTCCAAATGATGATTCTAAGCTTCTTACTGGTGGTAATGATAAAATCGCCATAGTTTTCGACAAAAATGCTGGACAAGTAGTCACTACACTTAAGGGTCATACCAAAAAGGTTACATCAGTTATTTATCATCCTAATCAAACAACTGCTATCACTGCTTCTCCTGATGCATCCATTCGAGTCTGGAACTTAGCAAATAGCAATACAACTCATGTTGTTTCGGCTCACGAAGGACCTATCACAGCGATTAGCTTACATGCCACCGGTGACTATCTTTTAAGTACTTCGACGGATGAGTTTTGGGCTTTCTCTGATCTCAATGCAGGTGTTATGTTATGTCGTGTTGGTGACCCAAGTTCAGCTCATGCTTTGACCACTGCTCAATTTCACCCTGATGGTCTCATATTTGGTACTGGAACTACTGACTCTTTAATGAAAATCTGGGATCTTAAAGAAAAAAGTAACGTAGCAAACTTTCCTGGACATAGTGGATCGATTTCAGCTATGGCTTTCTCTGAAAATGGTTACTACTTGGCTACAGCTGCAGAAGATTCAACTGTCAAACTTTGGGATTTAAGAAAATTGCGAAACTTCAAAACAATCCAGCTCCAAGATGGTTATCAAGTTAAAGACCTTTACTTTGATAATAGTGGTACCTATTTAGCTGTTGCTGGAACTGATGTTAGGATATATCATACCAAACAATGGGATAATCTTGTTACCTTTGAAGATCACACAGGACTAGCCACTGGAGTAAGATTTGGTGAAAATTCTAAATTCTTAGTCTCCACATCTCTGGATCGTTCATTAAAAATTTATTCATCATCCTAAAATTCACTTTTCATCTAAACGTATATTCGAAAAAATTAAACTATTTCGGATCACTTTTAGATAAATTATGTGTGTACCAAGATACTTCGAAAGCAGACACTTTGAGATTGATCCTTTCCATTCATGATTTTGTTATATTTGTAATATATTTATTGGTAAAATGCATCCATTCGCGCGAACATAAACAACAGTTCGGTAAATGAGAGACTCATCTTTCAAAATTGGAACCTTTCAAAAGTATTTATCGTCTCTTCTCAAATTGCCTGTTTTTTGTTATAAAATCATGGTAAATTTCAACAGTTTATGTTTAATCAAACAATTTCATTAATGTGTCCCTCAATGAACATCTTATTACAATAGAAACAAACTTGGCTCAAGATTAATCAATTAAACCGGCAGTTTTGCTGACAAAATATGATAACAATTTTGAATGAGATCGGCTTCGAGTTATTTTGAAACTAAACGAATTTCTTTATAAGATCAGCTTTTAATCCGAGCTAAGGAACCAAGAAAAACTAGGTTCAACATGTAATACATTCATGAATGTGACCAAACAATCCAATAAAGCAGAATAAGTTAAATTAACACGATGAAATTAAATGTGTATTTCGATGAATATTTCCACACTGAATGTCAAATTACAATCCATACTGAACTTTCCTATTGAGATAGTATTGGTGAAGAGAAAGGGCCAATGTTATGATATATAGACAAACAGCAATCCAACAATTGTGAGCCTACAAACAAAAGTAAATTGGATGTAAGTTTTTGATCATCACTTTGTAAACAAATAATGATTAAAAATAAATTACTTACCGCATTTTCATATTTACTATAAGCTTCTGATATTAATATTTTGCGATCCGTAATTTTACTTGATCTTGGCTCAATTTCAAGATCCTCTGCGAAAGCAAGTGCATGAGAATAAAGAAGGATTCCCATTAAAGTTAACATTATAATGGCCCAGATGCTGAGGAAAGAACAACAAATCGACAATCTTTTTCCACAGACAATCATTTTCAATTTAAGATGATATTTAGTTTAAATTCACAATGTAATAAACTCTAGATTTAAGTTGATTTAATTCATATCATGTTATCCCTAGCATTTAATTCCATATCAAAAGAGTAGCATTTTGGAGTTTGCCTGTAAGACCAAAGAAGGAAGACTCGTAAGATCAATAAAAGGTTTAGAAAGTGGAGTTTCAGATGTCAGGATTTCGAAGTGTAGTTAAATTTTCTAATTGTATTATTTTTAGATTTGATTAATTTATAATTTAAATGGACACTTAATGTAGTTAATTTGAATATGAAAAAATAATGCAGTGATGAATTTCTTGAAAAACTAACTTAAAGATTGTAATTACTGAGCTAGATATTAATTTGAAACTTGCTGTTGGATTAAACTATAGACATAAGAAGGTATAGAAGTTTGAAGCAATATTGTATCATCAATGTGGCAAAAATGAACTTCGATGATAATTTGGAAACATGAAATTGTAAATAATTAAGTTGAGTGGTTTGATAACAATTATGATAATATTCAATTTTATTTTGATAGGCATTGAAAGTACGACATGTTAGTAATTTGTGAACAAATTGGACGATTTGGTGGGTACAGAATGTGATGATAAATGAAAGATTTAAAAAATTTAGGTGATAAGCAAAAGAAATAGTGGTGCAGAGTTTGACTAAAACCAGCTCGAGTTTGCTAATTAACTATTTTTGACTATGGTAGGTATATAATGCAGCGACGCCCAATAAATGACCAATATATAAATTTTAAATTATTTTTTGCTAGCGTGATATGCAGTGATACAAAGTTTACAGCTCCAGGATCCCTCCGGTGGCTCATTGATAGGTGGGTCAAGGCAATACATGTGATAACCACGATCACAGTCGTCACAAAAAAGTAGTTGTTCCTGAAATACAGAAAAATTTGCATTATTGTAAACGTTTGTTCATGATATTGAAAAAATTAATTTAGATGAAGCAAACAAAACTTACATCATTATCAGAGGTACCACAGATTGCACAAGACTTGCACTCGATACATTGCCACCGATATTTTTTGATAGATGTCACCATTCTTGGGGTAAATTGAAGACATGTTGGATGGGCTGATCGACCGCAATCAGAACAAGAAATCATCTTTTCAGCTGATGCGGTCTTCTTGTTTTCATCTGAATCGCCCAAACAAAAGTCACAATATTTGCTAGGCGAGGCTTTGTCTTTGTTGACTGGTTTGTTATCTAGAGACATGACAAGAATGTTGTTTAATAAATACGAGAAAACGAGAAAATATCACAATTCATAAATGACAGTTACCCTCATTGGTTTCAGTTATCAAGTTATTTCTTGAAGATGTCGGTTGAGAAGAAGCTGAGCTTGTTGGGACGGAATGCTGAGGCTGGTTTTGACTGGAGTTAGGATGTGTTGATTGATTCTGTGAATTGTGAGAGTTTTGATTCTAAAGAAGAGAAAAGTATAAAATTGATAACATTAAGATTGAGAAACAATATGGCATTTCTGACTTACTCTGCGTCTTTTGCTAGGCTCTCGTTTTTTTCGTCGCTTTCTAGGTGTATATTCACCTGACGAATCCGAACTGTTAATTTCGTCAATCTCACCAGCATCTGGAGGACTACTTTCATCCTCAAAATCGTGCAACCAATTATCTTTAGATAAGTCATATTTATCCAGAGATGATTCATTTATCTCATTTTTAACAATTTTCTCGACATTGACAATGTTAGAATCTCGGTTTGTTCCTTCACATTCTTTATTACTGGCATTTCCTTCGGCAGGATCAATAAGGTAACTTCGCTTTTTTCTTAACCACTTTCTAGAAGGATAAGAATATATTACACCATGACTAAAGCCAGGCATCCTTTCCCAACGATGCATCCATAAGAAGCAATCTCTTTGAGCTACCCTTGTCTGATGATCAATGAATGGTAACCGAGTTTGTCTTTCTTTAACCAACTGGTTATTGTATTTAGATGAATTTTCAATTGCATCACGATATGTAGATGCATTTAAAGCACTAGATGAAATGAAGAAAAAAATAAACTAAAATCAATAAAGTGACCAAAAACCAATACAAAAAAATATCAGCACATAAATAGGAGACATCAGCTGGAGTTTAGCAGTAAAAATACAGATGCATTATCATGGGTGAGCAAGACCATAGAGATGATATATTTTGATGGTTGTAGATTTAATATTTCTGGCCAATTTATTTTAAAATTATAATTTAAGAGGAATATAGAAACATGGTTTACCTTTCAATCCTTTTGAGAAGCTGTGGTTTTATTTCAATAAACTGTCCAAATGACATAACTGTTTAAAAGCTTATTCAAAACGTAACATAATAAGAAAAAACAAGTACAAGGTGAGAGAACAAGTGAAAGAAGAAAAAGATAAAAAAGATGAATAAAAAAAGATAAGAAGGAAAATGACGAGATGGAAAAATATTGCTCAGTAGAGTTTTTTTATACAGTTAACAAAGATTATCAAAAAGATGATAAAGTTGAGTGTAAAATAGTTTAAGGAAAACAAACATGTCAGAACAAATTAACATAAGTTGCACTTCTTCATGTTATTAGACTAGGACAATTTAGAGGTTTGATTGAATAGACTCAATTTTGAGACAGTCAGATGATACAGTAACACATGTAAGCTACTTAAGTCTATAGAAGGTGAAATTAATGTCTAAAGAAGTGACTAAATGATACAAGATCATTGCACATTATTCATAGAGCGAGTGAATATCATATTTCAGCGCCATCTTATTAATAATAACAAGCGAAAGGGTTATCATATAATTTTACTTTGTAATAATTCTCTGTAGATATTTTTATTTTTATTATTGCTTTTTAATAATTTTACATTTAGCAATTTAGTTTTTTATGGCAAATCTGACATGCTTGTAATTCTTTATTATTTCAAGCAACAATGCAAAGGGACTAACTGAAATTTTGGCTGCCATTTGACTTTTTCATTTCTCAAAGAACGGGATGACTAACGTTATAGTGGACTTTTTACTGCTAAAAATGTCCTGTTCATGAAAATCGGTAGCTGTTTGAGGTTTTTTAACCCATTTCATGATTTAACAATTCGAAAAATTTGTTTTGTATTCAATAAGTGGATTAGCACAGTTATCAAAAGGCCTTTAATAAGATTATCCCACCAGAACGATGATGATTGAACTTGAAATTGAACTCTTTTGGTTGGACTATCAATTTCAAGGTAAATTTTTGACGTAAGTTATCGATGAAATTAGAGCAGGTATTTAGTCATGATCCAGAATATCCTAGAGTTAAACCAAATTAATATAGCTTTGAGACTTCAATTTAATGAGCACTTAAGATACCCTTGTTAGATCATGATGGTTATTGGATTACTTTTCCCGATGGTAAACAATTTAATGATCTCTAAGCTTTTTGATGAAAAAAACGATCTACTAACAGGTTTTATTAATCCTTTGAAGCACATCGTTGAAAATTTGTTGAGTATCATCAGTTCCTTTTATGTAGACTGTAAGATAAAGAATAAATCCATATTAGATAGGTTTACTCGTGTCAAAATGGGTAATTAGGTAACAAACTTATATCATGCGTCGATTTTCCCATTCCTTCCTTATTTTTAAGATACATAGGCCAAACGATTTCATCAAAATAACCGGGTGGATCGGCTGGAACATAATTACGATCCAATCGGCGACGAAAGCATTCCTCTTTTGGTAGTGTGAAGAAAAATTTCAAGTCAAATTTGAAAGGAAAATTCCTGAAATAGTGCATCAAAAGAAAAAGATTATCAATGAAAATTTGGTAATTTGCTCGATAAAAACATTGAAACTATTATAACTCACCTATAGTTGAAGATAAGATGCCCTTCAATTATAAGAAGAGGATTGCTGGTGTTAGATAATTCACTCAAAGTCAAATTAACCTGAGATTTTAATTTGTCCCAATTCACAGCGTTGAGTGACTCCCAATTTTGATGTTTTCTTCCACTTTTTAAGGTAATCCATATATGATTAGGGTCATCCTCTTCCTAGATAAATAGACACGAATACAATAAAATCATGTTTAATCAAATAGCAATGTATTTATGGGAATATGGAGAAGAAATGAGAAATAAAACTTACCCGAAAATAGTCATCTTGTCTTATTAATATTGAGTTTGGAAATTTTTCGATAATCTTAGTGGACAAAGTGGTTTTACCACCATTAGTTACTCTGTAACACACGTCAGTTGAAAAGTTGATTAATATGTGAGGAAGAATAATAAAATAAAACAATCTTACCCAGAAATACCGACTATGGTAACTTTAGTCATTTCAAAAAGAGTCTATTGGTCCAAAACAATGGCTCACATATGATTTGTTGTTATATTTTAAAACTAAAAAACCGCTCAAAGCTGTCTATTAATAATGAGACTTGCTTCAAATTGATTCACGGAACATTAACGAAACAATGATTAAATATTCTAATGTCACTTGGAGATGATTAAATTACAGTTTCCATGATTTATCAGTAAAAATTAACAGTTGGCTGCAAGAAAATACGAGCAAGAAGTAACATTGAAACATGTGAGTGAAACTATAAATTGTTGGATCATAAAATTGTCAGTGCATTACAACTAGGAATGTTAACAAAATGATGATTAAATGTTCTAATGTCACTTGGAGAAGATTGAGTTACAGTTATCCTGATTTATCAGTACAAATGAACAATTGGGGGCAAGAAAATACGGAAACAAAATTGTCAGTGCATTATAACTAGCAAACTACATATGTATTCATGCATATAACTGTGTATAAATGCTGTTCAAATTGATTTGACTGGATAAGTGACTTGTGTCTTAAGAAACCTTGAATCTCTTGATTTTAATCAAGAAAATTAATATTATCTTAAAACCTTTCTTAATAGTATTATCTCATTGAATGAAATTACTCAATCAATGGGGATTTCACATGTATCTTTATATGGGTTTGGTGAGCAGACATTCTGAAAATCTTGGGTTTGTTGCTTGAAAGCTACGCAAATGAGGCTATGATAATAAATAAGTTTATTAAAATTTTAAAAAAAACAAATAAATAATTTATAAATTAAGTGTATTAAATACATTGAGAATGTTTTGTCAACGAAAAATACAATTGCTTTTTAACTTGAATGTGGGTATTGTAAAAGTATTTTGAGTTATGAACTAAAAATGAACGGTTCGAGCTTAATGGTTCAAATTTGGGTTAATAAGTTAAATAAATAAAATAAATAAAATAGGAGTCTAAATGCAACCGTTAATAAACAAATTCAGTAATAACAACTCAACCTTTTCCAAAGATTGAAATAATTCAAATTGTATCATCGGGAAAAATATTCAATATTGGCACTTATTAGACTTTAAAGACAATTTTGAGAGCAAATGACCTATCGTTGTAAGAGTCCCTAAAGAATTAACAATGATAAAATCTGGTATTGGATCGAAATATTCAGATTTTTGAGTATTTTCCAAATTACCACCCTTCTGGTTGTCCGTTATTTGAATGACTCGAAGAAATAGAATGGTCACCGTCATTACCAGAACTGCTTGAAGGAACAGAGTCAGATGAACTATGATGATTATCTGAATTAGCTTGAGATGAAAAAGCACCATGCTCATTTTGAGAACCTCCGTTGAAAGAGCTTAAAGTTTGATCATTGGAAGACCCACCATCAGGCATTGCAGAACCAGTGTTAGCTCCTTGATTGCTCTTGTCACTGTCAGCTGAACCATGAAAAGGAGACAATTCTTGATCGTGAGAAGCTCCATTGTTTTGGGTTTGTGAATGTTCATTTGAAGAATCATGTTGGTTAGAGACAGCTTCGTGAGGGTTTTGATTGTGGTTAGCATCAGAGGGCTCATGGAAGGAATTCAGACCTTGATCATTAGAATGACTATGATCGGGTGTATGAGAGTCAGAGTATCCATGATTCGCTTGATCAGTATTTCCATTGTTACTCTGTCCTTGGAATGATGACGATCCTTGATCATGTGATTGTCCATTGTCCTGAAAGCCTACATTTCCATTTGAAGAGTCGTGTTGCTCGTTTGAATTTTGGCCATTTTGAACACTGGTTGGCCCATTAAATGGCGATAGTCCTTCATCTTGATGAGAAGCACCACCGTGATCACCATGATCACTATGAGAATTTTGATTTTCGGAAGAACCAAGAAGACCAGAAGAATCGTGATCTGAAGGCATATTTTGCTGACCGGAATCTCCGTGATGATTTGATCCGCCAGGATCCTGATTATTTTGGGAATTATGATCACCATTACTAGAGCCATGGAATGGCGAGAAATCTTGACTAGAAGCACCATTATCAGATGAGCCGTGGTCGTTGGGGAAACCAGCATCTTGTGCTATTTCAGAAGAATCTCCATGTCCTGAAGGTAAATGGTCAGAGTTGCCCTGATCTGGAGATAATTCAGAGTAATTTGAACCATCTTCATGTCCACTGAGATCAAATCCATTATCACCATCAGCATAACCGCCATGCATTGACCCACCATGGGCTTCACCATGGGCTTCAGCTTCTTTCTTTTTCTTCTCTTTTTTGGCCATTTTCTTAGCTTTTTTCATCATCTTCTTCATCTTTTTATGTTTCTCCTTTTCTTTCTCTTTGTGCTCCTCATGTTTATCCTTATGTTTTTTCTTAGCTACTATTGCTCCAGTGATTCCACCGGTTAAACCTCCAGTTAATCCACCAACAATTCCACTAGCAAGTCCACCAACGAGAGCAGCACCAACAACACCTGCAGCTCCAATAGCACCAACAGCTCCAGGGACAGGAACAGGTACTGGTAAGGGTAAAGGCAATGGCAATGGTAATGGGAGGGGAACGGGTAACGGTAATGGGACGGGGATCGGGATACTTTGACTAAGAATTATGATCATTGAGAAGAATAAAAGGAAAAAAATAAACATTAACTGAAACGAGAAGAGAAAATTAATTAATATTTTAAATTAATAGTCCAATCACTTTACATGAGAAAAAAATTGGTATCAAAAAAAGTTGTAAACGGTTTTCTCGCAACGAGAGGCAAAACAAAGCTTTATCCATTGATGGTAGTTAATCATCGGCTAACAAACATAACAATTTAAATTTTTGAAAACACCAGAGAGAAACAAATCACTGGAAAACTTGAAACTTCAGATGAATACAATTTTATAATTAAATTGAAAGGGAATCATGTAATGACTGAGATGTTGGTTTGTTTTGGCGAAAGTCTATAGACTTTGCTGTAAACCAAAACAAAAGCAAAACATATTGTTTAAATTTTGTAGTTTCTACTTACACTAAGCTTCATTTTGACTTGATAACCAGCTGGTTAAAAACTGTTTTAAAATAAGAATACAATAAATAATTGAATAAACAAAATTAAATAAGATAACTCAATTTACTTTATTACTGCATTGATTGTTGCTGAATTGTAAATGTGTCCAATTGTTGATTTGTCGAGGTAATTTATAGTATTTGACAATTTTGGTAACATAGCAAGGGAGTGTTTAATCACATTAGCAAATTAGATAATTTATTAAGATTTTCGTTTAAGGGTGGCAAAATTTGTTAGTTAATTATTGATCGAGTAGCGAAGGAGGTATTTCAGGCTTAATAAAACAATAATAAAAATAAATGATCAGAAAATTGAAACAAACAAATTAACTCCGCAAGAAATCATTACTCCTGTATATTATTTATAATGATCCGAGCCAATTTTGGAAACAATTAACTTTCCCTGTTATCAAAGTTTAAAATACCTTCTCATTAAAAAACTCAACATTTATCAAAAATTAGCTTTTAAATTAACTAATCAATTGTAGACATTAAACTCTTATAAACTTTGTGAATTCCAGAATTCACCAAAACCCAAAAATGTTTTCTGGTTCAAACAATTGATTGACCTTTTATTAACCTATCTTTAATACTTTAACCCCGTACATAATAAACACGTATAAACATGTATTAAACACTGATTATCATATGTTTGTGCCAATTTAATAAAAAACGCTGTTAAATGGTGATTTGAATTGGACAAGATAATGACAAATTGATTTCTTGGTGAATCAATTATTCAACAATTGGTCATCCACAGTCAGTCCATACTCAGTCTTTTATATGCACTAGAGCTTTGTTTAAGTTAATTGCACTGATCTAATCATGTTGGAAGAGAAATAATTAGCCATAATAGTTATAAATAAGATAATTGAGCATTGAAACAAGTAATTGTCTTCAGCTGGTCGATAATGCTCGATCTTTACTAATCATCTTCTAATTGATTGCATGTTAATGTGAGCCATTGTGTTATCTCTTATTGAACTTTTACAAATGGATTTTTTTAGCTCAAAATAAAACGATTGAAGCGGGTTCAAAATCAAAACAAATACATTAAAATTGAAATTGAAATATTTCTAACTCTCTTTGCCTCATTAATCATACAAGGTCAATCAAATAACGATCGTTAGGAAAATTTAGGTTTGAAAAGAAAATTAAACCCATTAAAAGAAGTGAATAATGAAAACAATGACACAGTTTTCTTTTTAACATCAAAGTCATTAACTTTAATCACAGTTGTTATTTTTTCGCCAATTAATTTGCCATTCTTTGATCAAACCAATAGAAATTTTAAATGCGTATTAAAATCCAAATAAGTCAAGTCAAAAAATTGAATGATTAGTTTAATTTGAAACCATAAAACAATCTGTTACTAGACACAGTCTTTGACAATATTGTAATAAGATTCCTTATTTTTCAAGTTATAACGTCGATAAGAATGGTATCGATGAAATTTTGCAGATCTTTTTATGTAAGGCCAAACACTTTAAGAGCATTGAAGCTTGTTTTTAAGGCAACATCTTCCGGCTTTGCTTCGAGAAAAGCTGAAACCATTTCAACGGTCACAGGTAAAGAACAGGGTTCATTACGCTGAAATGTACAATATCGCTCAAGAAAGCTGAGGGACCGATCAGTGAGAGTTTTTTTAACTTTTTCGGGTAACTTGTTGGCTCTTGTGTTTGGATACATAAAGGGTGCATCAGTTTCTACCATTAATCGATCCAAAGGTATAACTTTTTCTTCAAGTGTTTTACGAACTCCATTGTCTGATTTATCCTTCCAGAGAAAACCTGTGAAATGAAAAGAAATTGAATGAGATATTCAATGAAGGTTCAAGTTTTAAATTTACCAGTTAATCCAATATAATAGCCAAGTTCAATGTATTTTTTTGCTTCATCAATTGTTCCCGTAAAACAATGTATCACAGTTGGGGGAAGGCGGCTTGAATATTTGGTGAGGATTTTGACCATATCTTCATGAGCTTCTCGTTCATGGACAAATAATGGTTTTTTAAGGTCACAAGCTATTTGAACTTGCTTTTCAAATACCTCAAGTTGAGTTTCTGGAGGAGAAAAGTTTCGGTTAAAATCTAGTCCACATTCACCAATAGCAACAACTTCGGAATTATTAGCAGCTAAATCACGAATAAATGTTTCAGTTTCATCAGTCCAAGTCTTGGCATCATGAGGATGTACTCCTAAACATTTAGAAATCAAAAATATTAGATTGTCTCAGTGATAATACATCTCTTAGTTACCAGAGCTTCACAAATGAAATACAATGCACTGGTTCTCCATAAAATGTAACATTGAGATAACAACGAAATTTACCTGCAGTTGAGTAAAGTGTTGTTGGATATAAGCGAGTTAATCGTAAACTATCTTGGCTTGATTGAACACAAGTCCCAGTAACCATAATTTTCTGAACACCTGATAGTTAAAAGAGATAAACCACACATTAATAAATCACAAACATTGTAAGTATTATGCTGGATACTTCAAGTAACTATATCAAGATTGTTAAAACTTACCTGAGTCTTTGGCTCTTTGAATGACACCATCAAGATCTCGAGCATATTTTTTATTAGTTAAATTAGCACCAATATCAACGAGAAGATATGTTTCACTGTCAAGTCCAAGTTTCTTCATCAGTTCAGCTTCATCAGTTTCATTTGCAATAGGATTTGATACAGATGACATGTTGCGAGCTAATAGTTTTAAATTTGATTTCAACGAGACCGGAAAAATTGATAATCTATAACTAAAAAGTAAATTATACTTAGAAATCATAAAAAAAGATTACAAATCTAGTTTTCAAGCAACATTATGATAACAAGCAAATATCTGGAAATAAACATGCAAAGGCCAATAATCAAGCAAGCGCGTGATTTGATATTTTGAATTTTGAAAATTAATAAAAATTGCATTTATTCACAATGAATTATAATCACACCTTATCAATAGTGAATAATTAGCAGAGATACAGCTTTAAACACAATTTTTCACATTTCTAGGCGAAAGAAACAATTTAAAACGCTATCATTGTCTTAAGAGATACGCAATTCTTAGTGTCCACGTACTTGTAATCATTTTAAATTGACAGGTTCAATCAGATGACACCAATAAGACTAAAATCAGCTACCATAATTGGTTCTTTGAGACACATAGATTAAAAATATCTAATGAAGTTTCATAAATTGTGTTAGAAAATTAAATAAAACAAATACAGTACTATTCAATTTTAATTTTAATTTTTTAATCATAGTAACTAGGAATTTGAGATAAATAACTTATATCGATAAACATATAATAATTAATGCTCAAGTTAGCAAATTACATAATAACAACCATTTAATATTGCAAAAGTCAACTATTTTACAATACAAAACGTAAAATAAAAATCCAGTCGTTCAACTGATGATTAACTGTGAAAATTGTGTGAAAAATATGATAAAAATAGCCAATATAGTCAAGACTACTTTTAATTATTTGATTACTTTTCTAATAATCTGAGGGAACCAAGTGAAGAGAATGGGAAGCTTGTCGAGATTCATTAGATTAATGTCGCGATCAAGAAAGAGAACCAATCCAAGATTTGGTTTGTGAACCAGCAGGATTGGTGCAAAGAGGACATCGTAAAAACGATTGACGAGAACAAGTCTGACCAGAAATTAAATGCGATTTGACTAAATCGGACATTCCTTTACAAAACCTTTATAAATCCAGTCTCGAATCGGAGATCCACCCCCTATTTGATTGTATTTCTCGGCCACTTTCAGCGCTCTTCTTTTAGCTTCATCTTCCAAGGACCTTCCACTTGATAAATTGCATTTGCATTGAAAGAGCCATAGTATCACGATCAAGAAATAGTCTTGTCAAAAAGGTTCAACTGTCTTGGAATCCTTTGGTCCATATTTAACATAAATACATCTTTTGATGGTGTAAAACTGTTATTTCCCAATCGGTTGATAGAAACCCTGAAAGATAAAAATTGAATAAATAATTAACAGTTCGTAAATCAATAAAATCAATACAATTAAACACAGAAATTGAAATAACAAAAAAAAACATTACATACCTTTACTTTCAACAACACGGTCAAGTAGCCTTGATGATAGACCAGACTCCTTAAATAAGTCATGTTTTAATGTTCGATTTATTGCAAACTATTATGAATAGTTAATAATTTAAGTAACAAAAAGTTAGAAAATTAGGAATTAGAAACTTTGCAAAAAATTGTTGTAAACAATCAAACAAAACAGCTGAACAATGATTGAACGAATAGTAAGAGAAGGCGGTAAATCTGAATTTGCTTTTATTACCATCCAAGCAATTAATGATAGAATGTTAATTATAGTCGAGATGATAAATATTAATGACTTTTAAGCAAGAAAAGCTAGAAAGATACAAATAAATTATTTATATCTTTCTGTCTCTGATACATTCAATCAAGTTACGATTATTGTTATTATAAAACCTTACCTTGCTTTTCAATGCAAACATTTCGATTCACCCTGACAATAACACAATGAAAATATTTCAGATTCCGTTTGACCTTTTTTTGCTTATAGCTTTGTCGGTTCAAAAAATGGTTAAATAAATTCAAACAGTTTTAGCTCATTTCTTCGATCTCTTTTAATTTACATCTTTTTTTGATGACTACGAAAGAAAAATACTTTTCATTGAAATAAATTAATTTATTGATTGTGATTTGATAACAAAATAATACGTTCAATGTGATTTATATTACAATGAACAGTGAAGTCATTTTAATCATTCTACCGTCAAAACTTTTGTTTCAGATTGTTGATGTTCAATTCAACTCAACCTCGACCCAAACCTAATTTATTCAACCTTGAATCATTTATTTTGTTTCAATTATTCATCAAATCATTTATATTTCATATCTAATTCAACAATACAGATAATATCAGACTACAGTTGAAATCATCCAAAGATCTAGGTAGACAAATGAGAACCAAGAACCATCAGATTGATGATAAATTAGTATTGTTATCAGTCAATATTATTAAATTTAATATTCCAAGCCTAAAATTTTCCCAATCCCTCTGTTTAATCCCAATTTCAGAATAACTACACAGAAAGGATCGATAACAGGATTTAAAACTCGCTTAATTATTTGAAATTAAAACAAGCGTCAAACAAAAATTGTTTAAAGATTCAATCAACACACATAAATTTTTAATATCCATGGATCTGGATCTACTCTACTGTATATTTGAATGCGCGAAGAGGATCTTCTTGAGCTGACTCTTTTACAATATTCATTTATAACCACAGCTCAGTAAATTGAGTTTCGGTTGAACCTCTTTTTTCATGATATTTTTATCTGTCACTCTGTAGAAATGGAAACAAACCATAACCGGATGTATTGGATCATCTCTACCACTCAAACTCGAACCTAAAAAGCTTCGAAGGCCTTCACTGCTGTTGATAGTTTAATTGTGACTTTGTTATTTTCATTCACTTGTTTATTATTTTGTTATTGTTGTTGTTAAATATTAATGTTAATATTATTTATTATATCAAGTTATTGACTTGGTTAAGTTAAATGTTTATTAAATGTTTCCAATTATCATCTAAATGTAATTTAAAGAGTTCAAGTTGATTTATAATATAATATTATTCAGATGGTGAAACTAAAGATTATGTGAAGACAAAAACAAAGCAAAAAATCATCTCTATACACACAAAAATTACCGTTTGACTTTCATTTATAATGAAACATATTTTACCTTGTTGTGAATGTTGGTATTATTACTTTACTGATTGTTTTAAAAGGACTTTCTGAATCAATTTTGGAGCCTACTAATCAATTTAGTGTGGTGAACAATCATTTTTTGTAAGGAGATTTTTCTCCATTTCCATCCAATATGAAATTTGTAAGTAAAATTCTGTCATCCTTTCCATGAACGGTTTATGTATTTTAGGATAGTATTATGGTCTTATTTTGACCTAGAAAATCTATTGTACCATTTAAAAGGTATTTTTTATCTGGTTTTTCTGTACTGATTTCTGATTGATACTTCATTAAGATCCTTTAATTTCAGAGGAAAATCGTCATGTAAGGTAGATTCTAAAGCCAAAAGCATTGTGTCTTCTGAAACCATGTCAGTAACCAAATCTCTAGCTATTTAATTTTCTCCTCTATTCTTCAGTGATAATTAAACTAAAATAATTTTATTTTGAAGCTTGATGATTAATAAATGTGCGATTGAAAGATTTGTTGATTCAACATTGATAGAGAGGTTTTGTTGAATTTAAAGAAACAAGAAGCCTTTATACCATCTAATGATCTATCATGTTTACATCTAAGCAAATAGGAGTGAAAATTCATCCATAAACAGTTTTTCAATTAATTTTATTGTATTTTTTTCAATTTTCAATTGCAGTTCGTTTATTTATACAAATCAAAGTAACAAGAACAAACATTATTACACTTTATGATCTTTTTTCACAAAAATCTCTATTCAGACCAATTTTAATTTTGAATATTTTCTCAATTTTATTCCAACAGGGATCGGCTGACTCAAATTACAGCCAATTATCGTCCGATTTATCATTAGATGAAGAAAGAGAAGCTATTGGACGGGAAACTGAACGACAGGCCTTTGCTCAATTAGAGAAAGCAAGGGTAAGCTATAAATAAAGTCCATCTTGTTCGAAATTTTAATATTCTTCTTTCGATTCGATAGAGTAAACCAGTTGCGTTTGCAGTTAGGACCAATGTTGCTTATAACGGTGGTATTGATGATGACTCTCCTGTCCATGGGTCTGCCGTTTCTTTTGGTATAAAAGATTTTCTTCATATTAAAGAGGTAAATATAAAAGCGTCAAAAGAAACTGGTTAACGCTGATCTTTGATGATATTTCGATAATCAAAATCTCTAGAATTTTATGACTATAATTTAATTTTTGATTCTTTTGTTTCTAGAAATATAATAATGACTGGTGGATTGGAAGACTAGTTAAAGAAGGTTGTGATATCGCTTTTATTCCGAGTCCAGTGAAATTGGAAAATTTGCGAATCCAACAAACTCAAGCAAGCAAGACTAAATTGTATGCCAGTAAAACAGGTTCAGGTTCAAATTTTGCAGGTCGAGTTAATAATGTTTTATCCACTTCACAATCCAATTCAAGAGGCTCTACTCCACCAACCCCAGGTAAACATTTAACTCTAATATTTGATCTTACAAAATACATTAATCTTGATGATTCTATTTCTTTATCAATATCATCTAACTATTTCAGAGCAAGCTTGTGAAAATCCCAATGATGATATCGAAGGTCTTTCTAACTCACGGTCAGGTAAAACTGCTATATCTACACCTCCTACAAGAGAAAAACGTAAACCCTTCTTCAAAAAGGTAATGTTTTCAATGTAAATATACCTTAATTTCAATCTAATAAACCTTCTTTTGTCTCTTTTACAGAACGAGAATATACCTCCTTACGATGTTGTGCCTTCTATGCGGCCTGTAGTTTTAGTTGGCCCCTCTTTGAAGGGCTATGAGGTGACAGATATGATGCAGAAAGCCATCTTCGATTTTCTTAAGCATCGGTTTGAAGGCAGGATAATCATTACCCGTGTAACAGCGGACATTTCATTAGCTAAACGGTCGCTTCTCAACAATCCAAACAAGAGAGCTTTAATAGAAAGACCAGGACCTCGTTCATCATGTTTAACTGCGGTCCAAATGGAAATTGAGAGGATTTTTGAACTCGCACGCACTATGCAATTGGTTGTGCTTGACTGTGACACAATAAACCATCCTTCTCAACTAGTTAAGACTTCTTTGGCTCCCATCACTGTGTATATTAAAATTTCATCACCAAAGGTCCTTCAACGATTAATTAAGTCCCGAGGAAAGTCACAAAGTCGAAACCTTAACGTTCAAATGGTTGCTGCAGAGAAACTAGCCCAATGTCCACCTGAAATGTTTGATGTTATATTGGATGAAAATCAATTGGAAGATGCCTGTGAACATTTAGCTGAATTTCTCGAAGCCTATTGGAGAGCAACTCATCCGCCAGTCAAAGCTTCATCCATGCGAACTGCCTCTTCCACCATACCTAAACCTATGCCTTCAGCAACTCAATATCCTGATGAAGGAAACATGAAAAGACAACATGGCCCTGATTCATGTCAAATGCCACAAGAAATGACACTTTATCGATCAAATCGTGTTCAAGCTGTTTCATCACATGATATGCCAAGCTCAAGACCAATTGCTAGTGATGGTTTTTCACCTGATATGGGATCACCAACAGGTTATCCAAGTCATCGTCAAATTCGCCATGAAGTTTGTACAGCTCGAGACTATAGTGCTATGAATAGAGATTTAACTGGTTGGCAAAGTTATGTTCCTGGTGCCCCTGATCAGATTGATGAATCATATTATTATGATACAATGGCTGCGTCTTACAATCATTGGTATGCACGACCTTACCAACTGGAATGATGTTTTGGCTAATTAATACAATGAAATAGCTCAGCTTTGATATCGCAAATGTGTTTGAATATATTGTCACTATTGAATTAAATCTCAAATTAAAGATTGTGTTCACATCTTTATACAGAATGGCAACAACTTCACAATTATTAGAAGCTAAGTCACGAATGAATGTTTCAGTTTCATCAGTCCAAACCTTAGCATCATGAGGATCAAATATCTGGAAATAAACATGCAAAGGACAATAATCAAGCAAGCGCTTGATTTGATATTTTTAATTTAGTTACCACGAATTTTAATCATATCTTGCCAATAGTGCATAATTATAGCTATAAATGTAATTTTTCAAGCTTTTATTTTAAAAGCATCATAATTACTAAGAATTTAAGACAAATAATATAGATAAACATATAATAATTGAATCAAAGAATGTCCAAGTTAAGTTAGCAAATAACATAATGACAACCATTTAATTTCGTAAAAGTCAACCATTTTCCAATACAAAACGGAAAAATGAAAATCCAATAGTTCAACTGATGATTAACTATGAAAATTGTGAAACAAATAAGAATTGGATCAGCATTTTCATATGAAAATGATAAAAATAGCCAATATAGTCAAGACTATTTTTAATTATTTGATTAATTTTCTAATAATCCAAGGGAACCAAATGAGAATGGGAAGCTTGTCAAGATTCATTAGATTAATGTCGCGATCAAGAAAGAGAACCAATCCAAGACTTGGTTTGTGAACAAGCAGGATTGGTGCAAAGAGGACATCGTAATAACAATTGACGAGAACAAGTCTGACCAGAAATTAAATGCGATTTGACTAAATCGGCCATTCCTTTTATAAATGCTGGATGATCGTTAGGCGCTGGAGCCCGACGAATATTTTCGACTTTGAGCTAGGAAAATAGAGTAAAAACTGTTAATATGTAATTGAAAATATAAAATAATGGGTGATTGAAAATGTACTGCAGATTTATAATTGTTAAATACAAAAATCCGCAGTCCATTTCAATCACTCAGTATAAAAAATTTCATACTTTTTCTCCTAATTCATGAGCATATTCAATGTCAAGTTCATGAAGAGTTTCTATATGCTCATTAACAAATGATATAGGGACGATTAAAAAGTTTTTCCGTCCTCTTTTTACAAATCCTTCCATAGCTTCATCAGTTTGAGGACTTAACCAGGCTGCTGGACCAACTTTAGATTGCCAAACTAGCCGGTAAGGATGTGACCAGTTAAGTGCCTCCATTACTTTGATTACAGTAGCTCCAACTTCTGTTGGATAAGGATCTCCTCTATTTACAGCCTTAAGAGCAAATTATTATTGATAAGAGAAATTCTTAATAACCCAATTGATTTCGTATATTTGTAGTAGAAAAAAGTTGAGAATTTACTTACAGACATTGGTAGAGCATGAGCTGAGAACAAGATCACAACATCGTCACGAACGGATTCCGGAAATTTTTGTAACTCCTTATTAGTCAAATCTCTGAAAGCTTCAATCAAGCCACTATTTAAAGGCCAGCGGTCAATAAAACTCCATTTTATAGAAGGTGTTTTGCCAGCAAAATATTTAGCAATAGCATTTAAACTACTACCCGATGTGCTGCAACTGTATTGCGGATACTGAGAAAAGGCGACAATTCTTTTAACACCGTCACTGCAAAAGGAATTAAGCAACATCAGAAATAATGAAAATTAGCAAGATTAATAATGATTGATAGAAATAATGAAATTCAAATCTATTACTTTTCCATTTGCATGATAGTATCTTCGGTTAAAGGAGCAGTGTAACGAAATCCAATGTAATGCTTGTGAGGACCAGTTTCAGGACTGATTTTATCCAAAATTTGTGTCATAAGAGAGCCTTGCTTATCTGTCCAATCTTTAATCGGAGATCCACCACCTATTTGATTGTATTTCTCGGCCACTTTCGGAGCTCTTCTTTTAGCAATCCACGGACCTAATTTACTAAATAAACAAACCATTTTATAAAACAAATGAATAGGTGCCAAATAAGGCAAAAAATCGAGATTCGATAGAAACGACATACTCTTGCATTGGAAGAGTCATTATATCACGATCAAGAAATAGTCTTGTCAAAAAAGGTTCAACTTCCTTGGAATCCTTTGGTCCACCCATATTTAACATAAATATAGCTGTTGATGGTGAACTACTGTTATTTGATAACTGGTTAATAGATAACCCTGAAAGATGAAAAATTTAAGAAAATATCAAACACAGTTCGTGAGTCAATCAAACAAACAAAATCGAAATATTATTGCTAATATAAAAGCATTGCAATAACATACAAAAAAAAACATTAAATACCTTTGCTTTTAAAAACACTGTCAAGTAGCCTTGATGATTGACCAGGTTCCTTGAATAAACCATTTAATTTAATTTTTCGCAACATTTTCGAAATGATAAATATCTAATAATCTAAGCAATATAAAATGTCAGAAGATGAGGAATCAGAAACTTTTTAAACAAATTGTTATAAACAATCACACAACAACAGCTGGACAATGATTGAACGAATAATAAGAGAAGGCGGTAAATCTGAATTTACTTTTTTATCAACATAAAGATTAGCATTGGAATTATGTTAAATAATTATTAACTATAACTAAATCCGATTTTCTTACGCTTTTCCTACTCATGTATGTCTAGCTTCTGAAGAAATTAATAACACAAATTGAGATTGAGAATCATAACGAGAAAACGCATTCAAAAAGAATAACTTAATTTTATTGTTAATCACAATAGTGATAATATTCAAGACAATTTAAGAAGTGAAATGGAATCAATAAATGAGTCTTGAAATTTCACTTCATTATTTAGGATAGTTTGATGCTTCTGGATTCTTGATTTAAGAAAAATCAAATAATCAAGTTCTTTTGTTCTGCTCGTAAATTTAACGCAACAATAAATTTTATGAAGATTTACAGTCGATTGTAAAAAGCTAGGAAATTTGATGACATTCTTTTCATTTTTAGATTGTTAATGGAATTATGAGGCACATGAATTCAGAAGAATCAGTTCTTTTCCTCTTCTGTAGCTAGAAAATTTACGTATTTTGTCGTATCTTATTTTTTCTAAGAGATAACTAAATTGTATATTATCAAATTTTGAATGTTTTAACGATATTTTTAGTAGAAAGATTTAAATTATGCTGGATTTTAATCTCATCCAAGATTTACTCATAACAAAATTTACTCGTTGTATATTAATTGAATACTTGTGTCGTCCAGTTGCTTGTTCGCTTAATTTGATCAAAGTTATTAATGAGATCCGTTGTTTTGTCTTTATGATCAGTTTTCGTCTATATCTTGAGTCGATTTACTTGTAGACCCATTTTCTAAGGCCATTGGTGACAGATCTACGATAGGTTTAACCATTATTTTAGGTGAATAACGGGTTCCTTCAAATTGCCGCAAATGAATAACAATGTGCATATTAACTTCATCGGGTCTACTTAAGTAGGGAAAATCTCCTCCCGTTTTCAGATGAGCTCTTTTGGCGTTAGGATACATCTTATACAATTCTTGTTTAACACGTTCACTTATTGCACATTTGTCGAAGACCTATTGATAAAAAACAATAGTATTTAGTATTGAAAAACATAAATTAAAACAGATTTAAATCATACATCTAGTATCGTCACAGGAATCTTCTGCAGTTTGTGAGGCTCAACATAGCAGTTCAAGCAGTTAAGTGTTAGCCTCGAGGCTAGTTCCGGCTGAGAAAGACTTTCCAAACGTTCATTCATGAAGTCAATAGAATCCTGAATAGTTTTGTCTCGCGATTGAATCACTGAGGAACGATTGCCCATGATTAATTTTTTCAATATGATGGGTGGCATCATCCAGAATCTGTAAAGAAAAATTATTAATATATTATATATTTTCCATTTTTCAAACCTGGCAAGAAAATGCTAACAACTGAAACTGAAAAATATTTAAGCTGATCAAGAGTGAAACCTGTTGACTTGAATGGAATAGTTGAAAAGAAATCTTTCTGATTGAGGATCATTCTACAATCTGAGATAAACTATCTACCAAAATACGAGGTTTGATACATTAAGGTTACCTCTAAATCCTGACCACTTACAGCGTCGCAGAGTCTGTACGATGAAAAATTGCTGTATCAGGAAAACTGTTGCAAACAATAATTGACTGGACACGCGGACATCGTGAAGTAAGCTCAGCAAATTTTTGGATTAGGAAACCACCAAGAGATGCACCAAAGACATGTACTTTGTCCAACTGTAGATGATCAATGAGCTTAATAAAACCATAAATAAATTCTGCTAATGACCAGTAAATTGGATATTCAAGCGATATCACCCGATAGCCCATTTTACTCAAATTGGTAATTTGAAGGAAAAAAACATCTGCTATACCAGATACCGGAGGAAGAAAAATAAGTGGAGATGTAATTTCTTTTGGACCGGCATCGTAAAGAGTCCATTGTTTAGATGAATCAGAATCAACAACAATTTTTCTCAGTGGTATATTTGCCCTAAAAGATTGATAAGCTTCACTGTTAGACAAATCACTGGTCCAAACTCCACTGGTTCCAGAGACGATGTTGAAGCTAAATTTTTGGAAGGAAAGAAAAATAAAATATCAGTCAAGCTTATAAGGCACAAGAAAAGCAAAAATTTTTGATTTGATCAATAACAGAGTCAATAAATGATTAGTGAATAAAAACAAGATATTGTTGAAACCGAGCTGTCATTATCTATTATAATCAGTTATACAAAAGAAAAGGAAATTTTACGTACAAATTTGTCATATTCACTGAGCTGATTAACACACAATCCCATGCATTTTAACAATTTAACAATTAGATGAACAAAAGTATTAAAAAATTAAACTTAAAAAGACAAAATTATTTTCTTAAATTGCTTTGTATTTTTGTAAACAAAAAATATTTTTCTTTCCAGTAAATCTTATTAGGGTTTTTGCATGTAGAGAGCGCTCAATAAGGCGCTCTCCTTAAAATGTTCAAAATGAAAAAAAAACATTTATTGACAATTTAAGATTATCTGATGAATGAATTTACTGTAATTAAATCGAATCATGTTTGAAAAATTTCCTACTCTTAATTAGATCCGAGAAATTAATTTTCTTGTGATGATATCACAATTCATTTGGGTTATTAGTTTATCCATTAAACTACACGCTCCCAATTAATCTTAAATCCATAATATTTTCTGATTATTCCTATATGCCAAGAAATATCAAAATTGGAATTGAACAGTTTGATCTACTTCAATGGGCCAGTTTAAATCTGAAACAATTCCCTTCCAGTATCCTCGATTTTTGTTGCTACAGTAGTCATGACTGTCGGATAATTCAATTAATGTTATGAATAGCTATGACTGACATGGTAAACATTTCAGATAATAAATTTTAGAATATTCTCATAGCTAATTCCACAAGTTAATCAGTGTGAGTGGATTATCATTCCACATTAAAAGGAAAATTAACTAATAATGAATCGAATTTGATTAGATTCGATCATTGCCCAGTACTATTGTTTTTAAACGAATCCATTGTCTTCATTGGTCACATTAAACTGTTGAATTTGCAATTGAAAATAGAAGGCATCATAAAAAGACGACAGCTCATATTGACAACTTTCAGGAAGTTACTATCAATTTCCATGAATACTGTAATACCAAAAGTTGAAAACATAATAACAACTCCACCAAGAACGAATTTTCACCTTAATTTTAGATGAATAGACTCGACTAAACCAGAAAATAAAATTTTGTCAGCTATAGAACTTCATTCTATGGAGTTTTTCAACCGGAAAAATATTTTGGAGAGATTCAAAGTGACCACCAGTTGAAACACTCTTCCCTACAGGAGTACAAGAATACAAGATTACGGCCAAAAATCCTTAGTCAACCCATATTTAACATAAATACAGCTTTTGATGGTGAACAACTGTTATTTCCCAATCGGTTGATAGAAACCCTGAAAGATAAAAATTTAATAAATAGTAGTTCGTAAATAGTAGTTCGTAAATCAATCAAACAATGCAATCAAATAAACAAAATCGAAATATTATTGTTATTATAAAAGCATTGAAATAACATACAAAAAAACATTACATACCTTTAATTTTAACAACACGGTGAAGTAGCCTTGATGATTGACCAATCTCCTTAAATAAATCATTTAATATAACATTTCGTAATATATTTCAATTATTTTGAATAATTAATAATTTAAGTAATATAAAATGAGGAATTAATAGAAACTTTTTAACCAAATTGTTATAACAATTGTAAACAATCAAACAAAACAGCTGAACAATGATTGAACGAATAGTAAGAGAAGGCGGTAAATCTGAATTTACTTTTTTACCAACCTTACATTTAATGATAGAATGTTAATTATAGTTGAAATACTAAATATCAATGATTTTTAATCAAGCAAAGACAGAAAGATATAAATAATTAACGTCATCTCCGAACTTGAATTATAATTGTTAATCAGTACAATCCGTACAATTAAACTGAATTGTCCTGAATTTTCATCGCTCATTTTCAATCTTTTAACCGTTCAATGATATCAACAATTGATACAATTATCAAATAGATGTTCAATTATTAAATGATTATATTAATTCATATAATTATCATTGTGTAAAATGAATTTACTGCAATAAGTGTCAACAATTAGTTGTCAAAACATGATTACTGCTCAAGGTAAGAATTGGCAATACAAATAATTACGATATTAATTATAGCTTAAACAGTTATTAGCTGGTCAGTAAGTTGATACAAGTTGATTAAAGTGTGAGAAGCTCAAGTTGTAAAAAAGAAGCAATTGATTAGCAATTTACTGATCAATTGTTTGATCGTGTATCAACCTAATTTAAATGTAAATTAAGCAAATGGTAAATGTATAAATTGTTTGCGTTGAGAAATGCGTAAAATAAAAACGTTTGCTAATCAATAAATCATAACAAGTTATGAACCAATTTTTCAAGTTAATATGTTCATTCAGCCAATAATCAGTTTGTGAGTCTTGATTTTAATCTTAAATATTAATCATAGCCAAGGTTAATTTATTAAAGCGCAAAAAACAACAAAATAAAAGGTAAAGAAGAGCCAAAAAGTAAAATAGCAAATTAATCAATGTATTAGGCCAGTGAGGAATAGTTTAAAACATGATTAACAGGGAGAATGATTAACAAGAGAAACCTTGATTAAATGGTTAACCATGAAAACTAATTAAAGGTAAAAAATAAACAAAAGTAAAAATAATGATCATAATTAGAAACACAGTCAATTAGAGATTAATAATTGAACAAGATCAATAGCAAAAAGCTAAGCAAAAACGAGAGGTTTTATCAAATAAATCAAATTTTGGTTTGAAACACAGACTAAACCAGTTGAAAATTATTGAATAAGCTGATCCTCATTGATTACAGGTAATCAATAAAAGCCCGAGTCAAATGGTTTGTTAATAATGAAATAACAATGATCCTCATCTGGTAGCAAGAATGTATAACAGGCCAATTACCATTTGAAACAGCAGAACAAGAAAGCATGAAAATAATGGCGATGATGATGTTTAGAAAATTGTTATTATTTCTCTTCAGAACAAGATTCTTGAAATTCCTGAAAATATCATTTGTTTTCCTACTGCAAGGTCATTGCATGGAGATGGATAGAGTGGAAAGCAATCAACCAAAACATAATGGAAAGGTTAACCGAAAGTGAAATACAGAATCAGCTGGGTTTCCATTTTGCATAAACCTAAATGAAGAAAATATAGCAATTAATGAGTGTACTTTGATGAAGATAGTGATGATTGGTGTAAAAAGTGGGCAACAGGAAATTTAAAAGCAGCAATATTGGATGTTTACATGGTCAGTGTTAATGGCAGCCTTCCTATAAGCAGCCAAGCAATAGCAAACGAATTGATCAAGAGTTAACCGCAAAAACTGATAATCTTTAGCTTCTTTTACACTTTTCATGCACCTTCCTTTTTCCTCAAAATCTGGTTGAATCTAATAAAAAAAACATGTTTAAGCAGAAAAAAAAGAGTTAGAGAAAAGAAATAACAAGTAAAAAAAATGAAGAAAGTAACAAGTTGAGGGAAAAAGAGAAGACATTGCAAAGATTCCTGATTTCGCATGATAACTTCTTTTTCAACTCCTTTTTCCTTACTTACCTTAACGAATGATGGTGAAATTGAAAAGGATAAGAAAATATTTCAAGAATTTCTTTAGATATTTAACATTGAACAAAAATATTCGAATTGTTAGGAAAGAAAGAGAAGAGAGAAACATAAAAAAATAAGAAAGGGCAAGCAGAAAAAAAGAGATCAGTGAGTCGACAACAGAAAGAATGAGATAAACATGGTACCCGAAAATGATAATTCAAGAAACAGCCTGAGGCCCGGGCGTAGGTTGCTTCAGGGTTGTACATTAACAGGTATAAAGTTGATGATGATGAAGGGTGAGCCCTTAAAAGTAGCGAGTTCAAGGATAAATACTGTTGAAGGAGAAGTGTATAAATAATAATAACAAAATAATAATAGTAATATTGAAAAGCTTAAAAAAGGCGCTCAAGGAATCTTTCAAGCTGACAACAAAAGCCTTTTTTTTGGTTTGGTGGTTAAGGTTTGTTATGGGCTTTTTGGTTACTCTTGTTAGTCGGAATTATGTTTAGTATCTTCATGATGAATATTATTTATAATAGTGTTAACCCAAAACTTGTTGTCTAGTGAATTGTGATCAGAGTTTATCAAGCAAACTGAGCTAATACACATTTTTCAACAGAGAAAGGTTTTGTTTTGCCTTTTCTTTTGGGCCCTTTCCTTTGAAAAGCCAAAAATGTAAAAGTAGACAAGCTCGGCTTTAAGTGAGTAGTCAATGCACTACACGCAATAAAGTAGAACCTTATGTTGAGTTATCCATTTCTTTCTTCTTGTTTCTTCCAACTTATTATTTCTTATTCTTGTGACCATTGGAATTTACTATTATTATCATCTTTTTTGGTTAACAATAAAGCAACAATGTGAATGTATTAAAGTGAATTGAACCCAATCAAGTTACGATTATTGTTATTATAAGAAAGCTTTACCTTGCCTTTTCAACCATTTTGATTTACCCTGACAATAACTTAATGAAAATATTTCAGATTCCGTTTGACCTTTTTTTTGCTTATAGCTTTGCCCGTTGACCTGCTGCTGCTTTTTTAATGTTGCTTGCTTACTTTTCAAAAGAAACCTTAGGCCAGAAGTAATCTGAGCCTTGTACAAAGGTCAAAATTCAGGTCACGATTGGTTAACCATTTTAACCAAACTAAACGATTATTGCAAGTATGTAAAAGCTTAAAAATCAAGGTCGCGAGCCAGTCTAGGGTTACTCTAAATTCGTGTGGATAAATGATTATGATCAGGATCAAATTATAATCTCACCTGAAATCACATTTCTTCATTACAACAGTATCAGCAATTTAAGAGCATTATTATTAATTTATCAGTATTTAAACCATAAATGGAAAAAAACGGAATTAATGAAAAATATTTCCTTCCTTTCCATTCCTTTGAGAAATTAATCTTCAAAATATAACTTTCTTATTATCAATAAAAAATATTGCAAATGTTTAATATAAAAATATTCAAGGTAAAATTGAATTGAATTAGGAGTTGCTCAGAAATTGTTAAATTCCAACGACATTGCGATCAAGTATCATAATAACATTGATTTTGATTAACAACCTTGCACTTGTATAAATCATGATTCAATTGAGTTTTACTTTATTTACGTTGTTTCAATCTTGCAGAGTTGCTATACAATTGTGGACTAAAATTGTATCTACAATCATGTCAATATATTTTGACTATTTATGATTGTTACATTGCCTTTTATAAATAACGCAATTACACATGAAATCTGTTATGACAGAACCAAAAAAAATTACATTTTTTATCTCAAAAATTTCATGATATGAATCAGCTTTTGGTGAGATTTCTCTGGAATTAGTCTGATGCACTAATGATTTCTGAAACATAAAACTAACAAAATAATTAATTTATTCAAATTGACTGATTTCAATGTATTAATTAGCAAACAGAGAGATCAGAAGTAAATTGGACTGAAGATCCAGACATCAGGATGGCCTTCATGGAGTATTTCATATTTCAAACTAGAGTTTGACCAAATAAAAGGAGGAACGTCTTCATAAGTCGGTCCACTAATTGCATACATTTTAAATTGTTTGAATAATTCGTAGGATGTCACTTTGACATCAATTGCAGTTTCATTAATCAATCCATAGATCGGTATTGAATAAGAACCATTAGGATCATTGAGATCACCTCGACTTGCCAAGCTAACAGTAGCTGAATAAGGCGGCTTGCAAACATCACATTGAGTATCAATGTCTTGAGTATAATTATTGTAGCGAAGTAATTTGAGAACGCTTTTATAGTCATTGGCTTGATCTTGTTTACGACGAAATTGTTTGGCTCTAACAGTTTCATGATGGTCAAAAAATGGTCCGTAAGCGTTTCTTAACATTGGATAACCAGCAATGAGATAAGTGTCTTCAAAGTAAGGAATATTGTAGCTGGCCCAATATTTGTTTGTGACCAAGGCTGATGTCATGTCTTTGGCGATGAAAAAATCTGGCATTTGTTCCAGGATCCAGAATAAACCTGGTTTTTGATTAAACGAGTTAGCTTGATATCTTTTATAATCAATAATCATAAATTGATTATTGTAAGTTCCACTATTGTATTGAGCAAATATCCGAGACCAAGATGAACCATCCACAGCTAACCGATTAGCAACCATCATACGGACAAAGCAAAACACACTAGTTGGCTTGACTAATTGAAAGCTCGTTAAATTGAAATTGACATTTGTTGTCTCAGTAACTACCAATCCACTTGATAACAGGTAATAGTCGTCGAGTGAAAATATTAACCCCGGATAAGATGACATTGAAATTATTTGTCCTGGAACTACATTTGAATGTTCAGATGATCCAGTCCGATAAGATAAATCATACTTTTTCAATATTCTCAACATCTGGCTGAACTCCAGCCAGGTATTGTGGCCAACTATCAAGTCATTTGGGAGTAATTTGATAATTGCAGAGCATGTAGTCTTTCCACGATCTTTAGATTTAATTGCACGGCCAAGTACACTTTCAAGTTCCCATAAGTCGGGTATGCTATTAAGTATAAATATTTTTCCAATTTCAAGTTGATCGAAGCGAGTTTCTGATCTAAATATCGAGGTTTGCTTCATTCCTTCTTCTAAACCAGTTATTTGCTCTAAAATAAGTCCAACTTGGTACCAAAATGGATTCACTTTTGACTCAGTCTCCACTTTATTCCTCATAAATTGTATGTTTTGTTTGTAAAAGTCAAACACTTTGATGCAAAAGGTTTCATGTTCATTGCAATAGGTGGACCAAACATTATGAAAATGGTAATTAATAAGTTCTCGAGTAATGTAACCTTCGAGATAACCAGCCAAAAAAGCTATCGAACTATCATTTAATCGAGAATCAGGATTACTCCAAATATTTAACATTGACCATCTGAAAAGATAGAAACAAAGAGCATTGAGAATAGGAAAAAAGCGTTTCTTAAAAGTACAAATGTGTTCAATGTATGTTCATTTTTCAATGTAACTTACCCTGTCTGATTAATCTGGTTATAAAAAGATGCACAAACTAAATATGAACTATTTTTCCAGTTACCTGTAGCTACATCATCAATTCTGATAATTTTATCACCAACAATAGTTACACACTTTTCTTCACCATTCACCCATATTATAGAGAGAAACAAACAAATGATTGAGAGTAAAATCCCTCGAATGAACATGTTGATTAACGGCTGACGATTTGAGGTAATAATTAAAATCACAAAGAAATACAAATGATAGTTAAACCAAAATAAACAATTTACATGATGAAAGACTAAAGATTTATTAAGGTTAAGATCAATAGGCAAAAAGCTAAGCTCATATGACAGTCTAGGATTTGTCAGAGTTGAACTTTTGATTCAACGGTTTACGTTAACAAAATGCTTTTGTTTAAACAAGTGTTCCCCTTCAATCAGTTAGCTTAAAACAAGTAAATAATTTAATTCAAAAGCTTTATTTAATTTCAAAATTAGTGAATCAATTTTATTCAGTGTAATACAGTTGTTAAAACAATTAGTCTCAACCTAATGATGAAAATACCAAAGGTTTGGACGGTTTTCTTGTTCCATTTACGTAAATCTTTTACTCCAATTTCCTAGTTGATCAAACAAGGTATCTGGTGTCTTCATTTGATCATGAATACGAGACTCGTGTTGATTAGATCAAAATTTAAAGAAAGGATGAGAAATCCTAGTCAAATTCAATTATGATATTGTGCAAAGTAGTTTTACTCGTTGTGTCCATTGTTGGTATCACTGGTGAAGATAAATGCATCGAGATTATTGAGAATTCTTGGATCAAAATTGATGATGTGGTCATTAAAAATTCAACATTACTATCATATCCAGTTTGTGCATCTTTCGTCAATCAGATAAATCAAACAGGGTAAGTTTACAATTCTTAATATCTTTTAACTTTCCATATCACTAATTCCTGGCATCACTTTGACTCTTTTTGCAGATGGTCATATCTTACAATTTGGAGTGACCCTTCAACAGATTTGAATGATTCAACAATTGCCTATTTGGCTGGTTATCTTGAAGGTTACATGACCAGGGAGTTAATTGATGATCACTTCGATAATGCATGGCGCACATATTGTACCGATGATCCTGAATTCTGTGAGAAAGCTTTCCAATTCTATCAAGACAATCTACTGTATATGAAAGACAACCTATATGAGCTTGCATCTTCAGATCCTTATTGGCATCAAGTTGCCTTGGTGCTTAGTCAAATGACGGGCATATCTGATGGAATGTATGGTAAATTAATTTATAAGCCAGGAATAAACATTGACATCCATGGAAAAGTGTTCATTCTCAATATTATTACTGATCTGATGGAACTTGAAAGTGTTCTTAAAAGAGGAGTCAACAAGAAAGATCAAGGATTTACAACATGTTCAGCAATGGTCAAGCTTGTTCCCGGGGATTTAATCATAGGTCACGCTACGTGGTATGAATTTGGATGTATGCTTCGCATATTGAAAAAATATTACTTACCATTTAGAACTGAATCAAAACCTAATTCCCCAGCTGTTCCAGGCAAATTGATCTCGATGTCTTCCTACCCTGGTTTAATTTTTTCAAGCGATGATTATTACCTTATATCGACGGGTCTAACAGTCATGGAAACTACACTTATGAATTTCAATGAAACAAGTTATCAATTTGTAAAACCAGATGCCGGCGTTTTGACATTTATCAGGACAATGGTTGCCAATCGTTTGGCTGTTGATGGACAATCTTGGTCTCAAATATTTAGTCGATACAACCTAGGAACGTACAACAATCAATTTATGATCGTTGATTATAAAAGATTTACTGCTGATAAAGATGAACAAGAGTCAGGTTTATTTTGGGTTCTGGAACAAATGCCGAATTTGATTGTAGCTCAAGACATGACCTCAACCTTATTCAAAAACAATTACTGGGCCAGTTACAATATTCCTTACTTTAAAGAGGTTTATCAATTAGCAGATTATCCCAGTTCGGTGAAAAAATATGGTCCTACTTATGATTATAATGAAAATTCTCGAGCTAAACAATTTAAAAGGAAACAAGTTGAAGTATTTGATTACAAAAGTCTGCTTCGACTATTAAGATACAATAATTATCAAAACGATCCTGATGCTAGATGTAACTGCACTCCACCATATTCAGCCGGAATGAGTATTGCTTCAAGAGCAGATCTCAACGATCCAAAGGGTAAATACGATGCTACCGGAGTTGGTTTTATAAATGAAGCTGCAATCGATGCTAAAGTTACATCGTTTGAGCTGTTTAAACAATTTAAAATGTACGCAATAAGTGGACCAACTTATGACGACGTCCCCCCTTTTATATGGTCAAACTCTATTTTAAAGGATATGTTTCCTCATAAAGGCCATCCTGATGCTTGGGTTTTTGAGCCGATATACTTTTGATTTAACCAAAGGATTTAATATTCACAATAACAATTTAGGTCGAGACAATTGTATTAATATTTGAAATTTTAAGCATCAGCTCATAACTTCACCTCAATCGGGAAAAATATATCTGTAAATGAAAAATTGATCAATGCAAATTAATAGTAACAATGTTGGTCTATTAACCATTTTTACGATTTCAATTTTTGCACAATTGATTTAATTCCAATTTATTTAATGACGAGTCTTTAAATCATCATTGATCATCAACAAAATTACCAGAAGAATTTAAATGATTAGAAAGATTTGAATGGATTTGTTAAACAGTTGAAATATCTTTTGAAAAATGTGATTCCAATATTGAATGTATCATTTGATTTGTTGAAATTTAACGTATTTTTTGAAAATGTAATTACATGCTTATTTATGTCATTCAATACAATTTACCAAAAGTTAGATTTGATAATGATGAGTTTAGATATATTCATTGAAAACTGCTATTATGATTAAAGCATGAAATCAATGAAAATGTAAATATGTTTTTTTTGCTATTTTTCAACATGATTGAACTTGATTTGTAATTGAAATTATCAATCAAGGAGTCAATGATTGGTAAAAGTCTACATCTCTTTAAGTGCAATTAATATGACTGAAGAAATGTAATCCTGTTTTACATTTTGATTATATTTCTTGTTACATAAATTTCGCAATTATTCAGCAATCAAAAGGAAAAATCAGGACAATCAAGCTAAACTCAATTCCTATCAAGGTATTAATAGAAAACAAGTAAAAGTTAAGGCTACATTAAAAATTCTGAGTAAAACCTCGAAGCTAGAATTTTGTTCCACAATCCAAACCATTGAACATAGATAAACAAGTTTATACATATTTTCATAATCAAATCAATTCCAGCAATAAATTTTAAATTGATAGATTGACACTAAATTGTATAAAACTAAACAACAAGGCAGCCCAATATTTAAATTTCAGTATTTTATCCTTTAGATGAAACTAGATAAATGATCGGCATTCAGTAATTTTAATTACAATGAAGCTTAATAGCTAAATTGAATTTAGGACCAAACCAAGACAACAAAATGACAAAAATAGAGAAAGCAAATAGCGGAGAATCAAAACCGATAAGTTCTGAACAAGAAATCCAATTCCTTTTGTTAAATCAATTATTGGAAAGATTGAAACGATTGTCTGTTGACCCTTTCCTGTTTTTCCTTCTCTGTGTTGCTTTTACTATTTTGACCCTTTGCCTAATTGTGATGATTTTGATAGCAAAACTTTGATTTAAAAGCTGGTCCAGACCAAAATGGTTTATTAATATTCAATTGCCAAAATAGCTTCATAAGATTGCAAACTTATCAATTCAAATGATGTTCCTGGAATCCGAGATCAGGATGATATAAATGCTAAAAATAGTGATTAAATTAGAGAGAAAAAAGAAGTTAGAATATATGAGAAATAAGGAAATTTGAGAGATGACCAATTAAAGGTGCTAATCTTTAAGACAATAGCCTCCGGTAGAGTTGGTCAAGATGTTCAAGAATCTTTGTCAACATTCACCTGAGATTGTTAAGATTTTTTGCTCAGATTAAGACACCTGTAACTTTAAAGGTGACAACTGTTTTAACTTTTTGTCTTTTACTTCAACTTTCTGGGCCAACATCAGGAAGAAAATCAAAGTGTTCACCTTTTCCTTCTTGTTCCCTGGACAAGATAATTCACTTGGAATGCAATCAGCTGAGTAAAGATAGAAAAAGAAAAGACAACAAACGGTGATCTTTGTTGCATGTAAATATTAAGACAAAGATAATTCCAAAAAAAGGAACAATTTACACAGAGTAATCAGGGCAAGTGTTAATGGTGTTGGTCTTTGGTTTTCCTGCTTTGGTAAATAATAAAAACAAAAATTAGGGTAAAGGTAACACCAACAACTGAATCTACAAAGCAACAAGTGCAAAAAGCATGTTTAAAGAATAAGAGCAAACTTTACCTAATGTTAAACATCATCAGATGGACATGATCCTCATCTGTGTTAAAGACAATGGTCAACAAAAAGAGATGAAATTAAAAACAAGGTTCTGGTAAAAAAAACGGTCAACACAAGATGAAGCTGCAATGTTAGGATGTCAACAATGAGCCTGGACAATTGTAACGGCTTTTTATCATGAATTTTTCCAAAGAATTTAGGATTTGATGGGTTTCTATTAGAGCACATTTGATTAATGGGTCCATTCAGGTCAAAACTTTAACAAGGTTTAATGATAAATTAAATTATGATTAAAGATTAAATGATTGAATGATTAAAGTTAACCAAAAAAGTAAACTATTTTTAATGCGTAATTACCAAGTGAAATGATTTGGCAAAACAAAAAGGTGCAAGTTAGACGATGAGAGGCTAAAAGTTACACTTATCTCTTTGCTTTTGCATAATTGAAGGTTTTAAAGTGATCTTGTAAGATTTGCATTTGTGATGGAAAAATATGTTGATTTTTTTTCTCTCTCTTGCATGGTTAATGGTGACTACACAAAGATGAAAAGGAGGAAAAAGATTTAAGTAAACGATTTTGAAATGGATGCTGTTAAAGATGAAGATAAAGAAGGAAAAGAAAAAAGAAGTGATTCCAAATGAGGACAAAAGCCCAAAGGCAATGTGATACGACCTGATAGCGGGAAATCGGTAGCTTAATCTGGGATCCAGAGCAACTTTTTTGCCGCAATCAACGACACCCTAGTCTCTCTCCACTTTCCTCTCATCATCCTCATCGTCATCTTCATCATCCTCATTAGCATCTTACTTTCACCATAAGAGCCCTGGATGCATCATCAGTAGGAGATCATCATGACCTGATAAAAAAAAGCTAAACTCGTCTCCCTAGGTCTACATTCAGTTTGGCTCATTTCTTCTTCTTCTTCTCTCTGGTGATGAAGAAGGAGATGCTGATGATTGAAAAATGTTACAAACTATCCTAACCTTTCAGTCTTTATAAATTCAGATGATCGGCAATTCTTTTTTGCTCATTTTAGCTGTTGATGGACAAAGCAGGACCCAATATCAGGGTGAAAGGTAAATAAGTCTTTTTTTTAAAGTCGCATCATTGCTCTTTTTTTTCTTCTTTTTTGTATCATCATCATCATCATCATTATTAATATTATTGCCTTTTTTCTTATTTAATATTTTTTTCACCATTTTACCTCAGGCTTCAAGTGGAAACTTGCAAAACGTTGTACACAAAACAATCAATAAACAGAGAAGATGGAAGGAAAGAGAAAAAATTACATTTGAAAAATTGCAAGGGTAATCACCATCATCTTCATCGAATGATTCTGAACACATTTTTTTATCTTCCTTGCAGATTGCATGATGAGATTTTTGGAAAAATGTTTCTTGCCACTTTACTGCTGTGACGATGTTGATGTTTTTTTGCTTCTTTTATTTATTCTCTTCTTGTTCTTCATCATGCAAAAACCTGCAATTGCAAGGCCAAAAGTTGATGATTACCATTTGCATTTTGCACAGCAACCTCATCATCATCATCATCATCATTCTCCAAAAGCTAAGTGAAAAAAAACAAGTCAGATTGGAACCAATCAAGATGACCTGGTATAGAAAAAAAGGCCTAACCACATAAAAAACGAGTCCACCTTATGTTAAGATTTACTTTCATATACACAGAGGAAAAATAAGTAAAGATGATTTTAGCATTCCTACAGATGAGGCCTTTCTCTTCAGAGAATGAAAAGACCAAGATTGAAGTAAACGCAAAGTTGCAGTTAACAACAAGAAAGCACAAGGCAACGAAGCAAGATGATAATGATTATGATGTTGAGAATGATGAAGCACAAGAAAGAAATGCGGAGAAGAAGAAAAAAATGTTGTAGTGATGATAAAAGCTCTATTGTAACAAAAAAGGCCCATCAAGAAAATTATGATGAACCTGATGCTGATGATTGTTTCATTTCCATGGTTGGAGGAGCGTCTCACATTCAATTGAAAAATACTTGAAATTTTCATTAAATTTCATATACCAACCAAAAGATGTCGCTTTTGCATTTTCCATTTCAATTGCATGGTAAACCTTGATATTTGAAATAAGTGAAACACCTGAATAAACCGATGCTTAAACCAATGAATGTCTATAAGTGCAAACCCCGCTTGTGAAATATTGCTTGGATAATAATAATTATCCTTATGGCAAGTACAATTTTTCTTGCTGCAGCATTTACTTCTAAGCCCTTTTCCAAGTTAGACTTTCAATGGATGTCAAAGATCGTCAGCCTTTACTTTTCCCTCTCTTTTTTTATGTGTTTAAGTATTGACCTTTAGCCTATCGACCTTTACACAGCTAAACCTTGATTTACTTTTTTTCTCTTCTCTTTCCTAGTTAAAGACAAAAACAATTAACCCCGGGCCAAACCATCTTTTCGTTTCCCAGTTTCTTTTGTAAGACTCCCTCATCATCTTCATCATCATCTCACCGTACATCATTCTGTATATATCTCTCTCTCTCCCTCTCTTCTCTCACGCACACGCTCTCTCGCTTTCAGTCTGATGGACACAAGCAGACAGGTAACATCACAGGTAAATAGAGCCGAGTAACGGAGAAGACAAGCCTCAACAGGTAGTCAAGTTACCTTATTACTTATATTTTTTTCCTTCTTTTTCTTATCGCTTCTTATTTCTTAACTAACATAATCTTCCATACTTCGTTAAAAGTAAACAAAACTGCAAACACAGACAATCACACACACAGTTGATTTGGTTGTTATTTTTGTTTTATTTTGTTTTCTCTCCCTCTCTCTCTCTCTCCTTCTCTCCCTCACTCTCTCTTGCTTGCTTATTTACTTGTTGATGTTTCCCTATTTTTATTATTATTTCAACTTCTTTTCACTCATGTTTCTGCCTGGATAATTTTGGTACCAAAAATTTCCTTTTAAAGTCAACTTCACTGAAAGTGTCATAGCCATTTGAAAATACCACTACAACCAAGTAACATCATCGTTACCGTCACTATCATCTTTATCATCACATATTGTCACTGCCACTACATTTGTAACTCATTAGTAAAACATTTAGTCATCATAGTTTTATTTTATCACTATCATTTGTTACCAACAATAACATATCAACATTGTTCAGCTCACTCTCTGTTTCTCCCTCTTGATCCTCGTGTTACAATTTTAATTGATTCATTATTCAACATTTGCAAACATGAAACGGAACAAGGATAGACATCAACTCGCTCATTCTTCAAGTTTCAGATATCGTCGTCCAACATCACCATATCTGTAAGTTTTTTTATCTCTATATTTGCAGTCCTTTTTTTATTGCATCAAAGTGTTCAAATTGCATCTTATGAGGGTTATTAAGTTGTTAATCGTGACAATCTCTGAATATAATCCTGAAAGTTGCATTAACAGATAATCCTATCCATTTTTACCTTTTTTTCACAGCGTTGTCACTTTATCTTCGCAACTATCATATTTTATTTTATCGTTTGCATTTAGTTATAAAACATTTGATGATGATTGATTACACTTATTAAGGTGCATTCAATTACAGTTTTGCTGCTTTCCCTTCCCCAGTAAATTTTATTGCAATTCTGTGAACATTGTGAGCATTTTGATCATTGATTAAAAAGTGATTAATAGAATCGAACTCATCAACTTTCTTTTCCTTCTATTACTTTTTTATTATTTTAGGGTTGAAGATGGTGAATGCAATTCTGAATTTGGTTCAACTATGGTACCATTTGCATATCCACTTGAAGTTGATACCTCATCGCCTTCGCCTTTACCAATTTCACCAGCTTTTCTAAAGCATCCTCGAGATCGATCAAATAGTAGTTGTTCACTTAACTATAGAGGTTCACCTTATGATTTAAGTGTAATCTCACCGGACATACTTAACCCGTTACGACGTAACAGTGATCCAAGTTCAGCTCCAGCATTAACAGCCACAGCCTTTACTATGGCCAAAAACTCTGCTCTCGGTGTTTTAAGTCCGCCTTTACCCATGGAAGAAGAATGTGATCAACCCTTAGACATGTCCAAAAAAAGTCGGACTCTATCATCAGAATCTCATCACCATCACCAACTCGGTTCAACTTCATCATCTTCCTCATCAACATCCTCAAGATCAAATACTTGCTCTCCCGAATCAATTTACAGGGGAAATCATGTCAACAACAATAGTTATAATGGACTTAGACAACAACAAATGCTAAACCATAGCATACACAGCCATCATAATCATCATCTGAATCAACCTCATCTTTATCAATCACCTTCATCTAATCATCTTTCAAGTAACAATATCATTAATCATCATAATCTTATCAATTCTCAGGATGGTAATCCTCATCTGCAACCTCGACCTTCCGTTATTACTTGTGCATCAACCCTTTTCGGGCCTAGAAGATCAAATTCTAGCTCTCATCATCAGCAAGTATGTTCAAACAACAGGAATATTAAGGATGAAACACCTGATCATTCACCACCCTCCTATCATCATCATATTCAAGCAAATTCGGGTTTAACTAGTTCGGACAAAATTTTGCATACAACTTCACCAAGATCATCATCTCTAGCATCATCTTCATCCACCTCTTCATCGTCTTCTCTATCATCCTCATTGTCATCAACCTCATCATCTTCATCTTCTTCCTCGACATCATTTAGACAATCCATTAAACAATCGCAAATGCAACGACATGAAATTGCCAATGATTTAATCAGTAAACCCGGTAAAAAGAAAATCGAAGGACCAAATAAATTATTAATCCTCGGTGAAGATTCCGATTCAGGTATTGATGAGCATTTCCGCAGATCTCTCGGTGAACATTATCGTAGTTATACCAATGTTTCAATGAGTGGTAAGTAAAAGTTTAATCAGCATTTTTTCGCCTTCTCTCAATATCAATATCTTCTAATCTCACCTTTCTTTATCCTTTATTCAGTTGATGACCATTTTGCAAAAGCATTAGGAGATACTTGGCTGAAGCTGAAAAGAGATTCGCAAAATGGATCCAAAGGAACTTCATACAATAAAAATGTTCCAAGTGTTCCATCATAAAGAATCAGATATTTCAAGCTTTGAATGATTTAAGTAAAAAAGGGATCCGTTTTTGGCCACTTTATTTATTTAGGCTTCTTATTGATGTAACTAACGCATTGATTTTTTATAAAATGTATAAATTTTTAAAGAAAGAAAAATGTTCAGAAAGAAGAAAGAAAAGGAAGACAAGCAAAGTTCATACGCCTTGGAGCAAGAAAACGAGGAAAATTGAGAAAAACTTTCCGTTCTGTCCATCCTTGGTTAAAATATCAACATAATTGACGTCGTTTATACTTTTTTTATGCTTCGTTTTTTTGCTGTTGTTTCTAAACAAGTTATTAAAACAAGAAAATGAGTTACCCTTCTGATAAGTACTCAGTTGCTTCGGATGGACTGAATGACTTGAAGCAAAACGAATCGCTGAAGATGCAAAAAATGGATTCCATTGCTATTGATCTTTCAACTTAATCAACATATTTCTGCTGCTCTCATCTTTATTACTAATTGACGACTGTTAAAACGATCTTATGCTTATTCCTCTTTTTATCTTTCTCCTCAATTTTAAATACTTTCATTATCACTTAAAGCCATAACATCGTCCAAATTAGTTTCGTCTTGAAGCTTTTTAAGTCCGGTTAACTCTTCCAAGTAATTACAATCTCGAAACACTTTAGCCAAAAATTGGAAACCTTGACTCTTATAGGTTTGAATAATCTGAAACAAAAACGATAGAAATAATAAATTAATGATCAAAGTTTGGAAACATTTAAAGGGAGAAAGGTACAAAGGGAAAGGTTCGATTTTTCGAGTGGAAAAAGAACAATATTTTTTTAGTAATTAAATTTATAATTTTTAAAATGACTTTTACTGAAAAAAAGGTATTCTGTCCAAATAGATTGCAAATATCAAATTACAAAAGCTCATAAATATACTCTACCATTGTAAATTAATTAACAACCAATCAATGTAAAATGAATTGATTATTTTGTCTTTAACATACAATTTTATATACATTTTAGTATATATGATTTAAATATTAAAAAAATATAGATATTAATGATTTGATACATTTTTGTGAAAATTATTTCAAAAACAAACCAAATCTGTTCAAAGTATTAATAGTTGAATATTTCCTTTAACTGGATGTTTTTTTCCATGAAAAGGTTGAATTGTATCATTTTATTTTACATTAATGATTTAACATTTACCATTGACGATCATGATTAAACTAATCTATTGGTTTCAAAGGCTAGTGTGCAAATTAATGATAACATTGACAATTAAAAACAAACCAGATTGGGATATAATCTGATTGCTGATTTCAAGCTAAACTAATCTAAACTATGGTACTCATAATAAACAAATGTGTCGTTTGGACTGAATAAGTTCTGAGAAAAATATAATTAATCTGGATTCAAATGAGAATCACATTGAAAATAATCAAAATAATCATCTAATTGTCACCGCATAATATCAATTAAACGTTTATATCACATATATTTATCATATTATGACGAGGTAATGTTAAGGGTGAAGGACGAGGTAAAAATAAAACAAAATTGTACTGACTATAGTTGGTCAACAGTGAGCTTCAATCTTTAAATGACACTAATGCCAATTATGGTCAACACACTTTGGTCTAATTTTTTACCTTTGCTTAAATGGGTTGATATGAGATGACGGTTTTGGGTTTCATCAAATCTCATATAAACTCAGTGAAGCTGTTTAACCGACTCTTATTGATACATTAATATGAGCATCAACTGATTGACTATCAGAGGTAAATAATTATCGGAAAGGTGACTTACTGTGGGTGAACAAGCAGTACACAAATCAAATGCGTGGCTTGTTGGCATGAATTGTGTAAATTGAGATAGAAATCCTCTAATTTGATGAGGAATTATTCCGAGCATACATTCAGCAGTTGATGTTGAATTGCCAGATAAATCAGTATTTACAGTTGCATGGAATCTAAAGAAAATTGAGGAAAAAAAGAAAGAAAACAATTGAATACATCAATGAATAGTTGAAATGAAATTTTTAACATGTGAATATCAATCTATTAATGAAGCGCAAAAAAATCATGATTGTGCCAAATTGTTTGCATTTTCATTTTTGCTGTGCTTTATTTTTTTGCGGTTTTTTGGTGGTGATTGTTAATAATGGCTATAAAAGCTGCTTGTTGACTTGAGGATGGAATAAAACGCTTTTTCGGAATTTAGAAAATTACATGAAAGTGATTCAGAAAACCGGAACAAAAAAAGTAAACTTTTAAAGGTGAATCAAGGAAAAAAAGGCATTCAATGTTATTTTAGGAAATGGCATGATCGCTATGAAGAGTATTTCAACAATTTCGTAACTATCAGACGATTTGAAATCATCTCAAAGGAAAAATCTGAGACAGCTTGGAGATAATTGTTTGTCCCAGATTAGATGATTACCATGATAATGATGAGAGTGAATAGAGAATGGAAAAGAAGCAAACAGAAGATACTAGATGATGTATTAAAGGGAGGTGTAAAAAACACTTTGCAAGTTACACACAAAAAGATAAAACATTTGTTTAAAAATAATGGAAATAATTTTCTCATTTCTCAAGTATCATGTTAAGGATGAAATGAATAAGAAGCTTGTCATCAACTTTTTTTCTTCATCGATAGCTCGACTCACGTATACTAACATTGTGAGTGTTGATTCTGATGATATCATAATGATGGGAAGAAGAAGATGATAAAGGAGAAAAAATTGAGAGATGAATTGAGTCTGAAAACGGAAGATGAATAAATGATAAGGAAAGAAGAAGAAGAAGAGGAAACTGAAGACTAAATCTAATTGTGATTTACGTTGTGTTTAACAAAATCAATTAACTATGGAAAAATCCATTAAGGCCTGATTAATCTAGTTCTTATAATCATAGAAACTCTTTGTTTCACGATAATCAACAAATTAGATTGAATGATCAAATATGTAAACCTTTTCATGGTGAAACCTGATACCAGGTTGTTGAATACGCCAGTGAAATTAAAATTAAATCAATACCTGGAAAGGGGAAAATATTATTTTCCAATTAAAGATGTGTATTAGCAAGTTATCGAGATATAGTGAGAAATAAGAATCGACTTATTCAGAGTTGGCTTGATGGAAATGAAGAAAAATCAAGAGAAACGCACAAAAGTAATTATTGAATGAAAATGATAATATCATTATGATTATAATCAATTGCTTAATATTATCTTAATGTTTTCATTATATTTCTCACTGGAACAAAAGTAATGCAAACAGATTAACACAGATTAACAATATGAAACTATCTAAATTGTAGATCACTCGAGTTTTTTGTTCAATAGTTTTTGCCAACTTGTTCAAAAATTACAATTATATTGTTAACTGCACCATTCATCATTAATAATGAAAGGAAAGTTTCATTTTGTTTCAATCAACAATCATTAACAAGTGAAAAATTATCATCAAAATAAAAAGCCATTTCAAAATTATTGGATTACATTTCGTTTGAAACATTTAGGTTTGTTGAAAAGCAGATAAAGAAACAAAATGTAACCAATTTGGATGGTAAATTGTTTCTCGCCAATGAAACAGTCATTAGTAATTAAAGTTTCAATCTAATAACAGATTCAATCATTTATCAATAATAAATTGGATTAAATCGAAAAATTAACGATTTAATGAGAAAAGGTGGGAAAAGGCATAATTTTCATGATTGTGATAGTCAGATAGTGATATTTTCGCGTGCTTCAATCATTTAAATCATCATTTATCTTATTGACCTTGTATGTTGAAGATTGAGCAAATATTTAAGAATGCATTACATGTTTGATGATGATGAAGATGATGAAGAAGAAGATGAAGATGAAGACGTAATATGAAATTCCTGAAAATATGATCGAAAAGGAAAGGTCTGAAAGATGGAAAAGAGAAAGTCTTGAGGCCTCTTTGTATTTAGTATCCAATCATGACACACCTCAACTAGCATCTTAAGATGGACTTGAGAATCAGGAAACCTTTTCAAAAAGAAGAGAAGAAAAACTAAAGATGATGATGATGATGATGATGATGATAAAGAGGATGACAAGATCTTTTCTCCTTCTTTAGGCTTTTCTGATTATATAAAAAAATTACATTGAAATAGTAACACAAAAATAAAGACTAACAGCATTCCAACAGAATCTCTCTTTTTTACTTCTTGATAGTTACTTCTTAAAATGTTGAAAAAACGAGCGAATAATCTTGAATAAATTTACTTTGATCAACAAACACACTCATGTTGATCAACTGAATTGTTGATCATTGTTTGCATTGGGTAAATTGTCAAGAGACAACAAGTGAGGAGGAATGTCCTTTAACAAATATTACGATTAGTTTAAATTTTTAAGGCCTGTTAAGTTGAACAGTTTAAACGCAGAATACAAATTAACTTGCTTGTTGTGATAATAAATTAAATATAAAACCCATCCTAACGTGAGTGTTGGTTAAATACTATGAAAATTGACTGGAAACATCAGGTTACACCAGTTAATTGCTTAAACTCAATAAGGTTTACGATTCTTCAATTTCGTGTTGGTGTTAAAGTGAAGGTAATTTTGCAGGGAAAATCAACTCACTTGATTAACATTGAACATTTCTCGTGATCATTTTAACCCTCTATGTAAGCTAGTCCTCCAATCATTTGACCTGTAGGCGTTCAGTAAATTGTTAACTATCATCATAGGAGTTAATATTAATATTAACCTTCAAATTTTAGCCACTTTTTACCCACAGCTTTCTTCTAAGCACTTTTAAGTCGCTATTGAGCTTCAAATTCGGGCTCCAATAAATTTACCAAGTGGTTGAGGCGAATCAAGTAATCAACAAAGAACAACAAATGAAAAGAAAGAGTTTAGAAGAGTCAGGAATCTTAAGAACTTCATTTTCTGGGATTCTGTCGTTCCTACCATAGCGTCCTTGAGGTCGGTTACTCCCAACAATTTGTATAAAAATTTACATTTCAACAGATAACCCAACCATTTCCAAAACTTAAATCAATTCGTTACAACCAATAGAGAGCTTTTCTCATCACCATCCAAAACTGAGAAGCTTTGTTTTTTACCAATCTTCATCATAGCTGCATTACCAAATAAGTTAATTTTATCAACCATTATTGATTATCTTCATGCAACCATCAGTATAACATCTAATACGGACAAATCCTGATTAATAGTATAATGATCATTTTAATATTGTCAATTGTGCTCATTTTTCCACTCCAAAGTTATTCATGGGCTCCTGGAACCGAGTTTCCATGTCCAGATGAGCCTCATCTTTTTGATCCCTGCCATTGTTCAGTGGTATCTTTTGATTCCGTCAACTATTATTCACAAATAACATGTTCAGGAGTAAATGGGAAACAAATTAAAGAGGCTTTCCATCGAGCCTACCATTATCACAACATTTCCAGGTATTATGATATTTTAATGATTAAAGATGTTGCCCTGTTAAATATCTGCTGTGATGATATGTTGGAAGGTTTTCGCTTTAAAACAATCAAAATTACCGATTCCAAAATTTGTGTCATCCATGCAAATGCATTTACCTCAACTCATGGTCAAACATCTGAAATTGTTTTGATGGATGTTACATTCACTCCTAATTTAGTAGATGGTGTTCAATTGTTCCGAGTGGTCCGCAATTTTGCCAATTTAAGAGGGTTTTACATAATTACATCAAATCTAGAAGATGTTCCTGCCAATGCATTTAGTTTACAATCCAATTCACATGGTAACTTTGGTAATCAACTGGAAGTTATTCGCATCTGTAATTCAAAAATAACTCATCTGCATGATTATACATTTACTGGATTACCACGACTGGTTTGGATTGATTTTGGTGATAATCAAATTAATAGGGTGGCAGCTCATACATTTACCTTATCATCTCACCAATACACTGAGGCACCACTTGAGATAAGTTTGAGTGGTAATCGTTTAACATCAGAAAACATTGAACCAGGATCATTTGATAATAATCTGACTAGACCGGTAACAATCTACCTCAATTCAAATAAATTGACAACTCTTTCCGAGACAACCTTCGAAACACTTCTTCGTCGACCCAATTATATTGTTTATGTTGAATCTAATCCATTCATCTGTGATTGTAGACATCGTTGGTTATTTAATCACAAAGAAGACAATATGTATCACCTAAAGGAGATGAAATGTGTTGAAGATGGAACATCCATTTGGTCCAAAAATTTACCCAACGTATGTGATCGAAGTAGATTAGTTGTTGAACCACCGGGAGTTGAAGTTTTTCGCAAATGTTGCCGTAAAATTAAATATGATCGAGATCATTCAGCTGATGATCATCGACATGAGACACACATCCATCCATTACCAGCAAGGCAGGTTTATTATCATCCTCCTCACCATCATCACCATCAACAACAACAACAACGCGAATATCTAATTATTCCCCAACAGCGTCCAGTTCGAGAGTATTTAGTTCAATCAGAGTTTGTTGAACAACAGCAACGTCATTTCAAGTCAAAATGAAAATGGTTTTTTGATAATCTTACCATGAATTGTTTCCCTAGAATTAAATTTGACTTGGTCCCCATTTAACATAATGTATTGATGATAAAACCCAATTGATAAATAGTTTTCATTCAATCGGAGTAATAAAATAAGCGGAATTTTGCTATCAAAATGTACGTCAAAGTTTTTGATAGACAAATGAAGCTTATTTGAAAATAAAATGATTTAATCTGTATCTTTTTCACCCTGTAGGCTTTATTTAAAACTTGAATTTTATAATCAATTTGAATTTAACTGTGAGAATTATTTTTCAATTAAGATTAAACACATAGCTGAATAATAATTGTTTTAGGATGTTAGCCCTTCTATTTTCATTGATGAAAATTAATGCACTAGTGTCGAACTGAATTACAAAAAAAACTGGATTATCTTTGAAAAAGAAAGCGATTGTATTATAAGTTATAAATTATAACTTATAATTTATAACATTTAATCTTGAAGATCAAATCTAATCAAGGTTTGTTTTTTGTATTGATCAACTGCACCAAATCATACGCTCATTATTTCGTATTAAAATCATGATTTATATTGATCATGAAGAGGGAAAACTGATGAACTTATGATTTTAGGCAATCATAATTATCAAATTGACAGACAAATTGATTGGAAAAGTTATAAAACCATCCAATTAGATAGACATGGATAATCAATTGCATAATCAGGTTCTACCTAATTAATTAACCAATGTTGAAGTATTCAAAATTTAATTTCTTAAAATCGGATTTAGCTAAAAGTCGACCATTTGCTAATAAAATAATGAGTATTGACAATATAACGCAACCTTTTATGCACGCAAGTTTAGTGTAGCTTAGTATTTCTAGAGGTTTTGTGCCATTTTGAGATAATAAAGACTCACCCTAAGGGATGTTGGAGAACGGAGATCATTAATTCAACTGCTAGTGAGCCTGCTATCATTGAAACACCAGGTCGGGTAACCGTACATTGTTGGTCCAAAGTTCGATTTCTGGAAGACTAACAAAAGAAAAGGAGAATTAATCATCTGGGTCGATGAATATTGTTTATGATGTTGCAAAATTCATTTGTACTTACATCTCCTGGTGCGACGACATCATTGCAAAAATAACAACCTAATTTACGACTTATTTCCCCAGTTGAATCAGAAGTTAAATCGTCATCTGGGAATGGTACACCGTGCCTTTGTACTAAATATGTATCAAACCCAAGAGCAGCATTGATAACAAGCTGGATCAAGAAATATAAAGTTATAGAAATTAGTAAATTATTTTTCCAATAGCGACAAAAATCCTATTACTTTTCGATGAATTTGACCGAGTACAGTTGGTAACCAGCGACTTTCACGCGAGTCCATCAATAAAAATACACAATCATGTTCTTTAATTAAATCTTCCAGCAAATTGACTGTCTTTTGAGTCTCCTCAGCATCTAAAACGGAAAAGAGTTAATATTCAAATTAATGTGATAAGTTATTCATGATAAAGTAGTTAAACGAAGTACCTGCTGCAAATGAGGCATGACCTGGCATTGGAATGGTTAAAGAATAGCCTTTACTGATAACATTTGGGTAAATTTTGGCTAAATTGTCAGCAGCAGCTTCGGCTTTAGGTCGACCTGAGTTGAGACAGTCACTGAATCCAAATAATGATTGGCGAACTGGATTGGAAAATGATACTTTTCCTGAATCAACAAAATCGATTTGATGGACACCCCAAGCCTATTAATTATTAAAGATTACAATAGAAAATTTATTAAGATAATAATATCAATGCAACTGAAATATTGCTTACCAGTAAACAGCGAGCAACATTGCTACCTAAAGTACCGGCTCCAAGAAGTAAACATTTAGTTGATGAAATTTTATCCAAATCAAGATCGGGGATAAGACGCCATCTCATTAATCTTAAATTCAGATCCACTGAGTTAGCTGCTAATATTTTTGGATCCAAAGTTGCACTTAAATCAGCTTTTCTAGGTAAAAGCTTTTGTTTTTCATTTTTCTCCCAGCCAACAGCTCCTGGATACTCTGCTATGCTCCGATCTGTATCACCCAATTCTAGATGTAAAATTAGACTAGACCCAGCAGAATTATTGCGTATACGATAACATAAAATATCAAGAGTTTTGATTTCATGACGTTGAATCATATAAGCGAGTAGACCACGAAGAGGCCATCCGGGATATTCATCATCTGAGCTAGGATCAGCAAATGAAACGAATAACTGAAACAAAAAAGTAAGCAATAATTTAAGTACACATGTTATAACTTATAAGCCATAAAGGTGTAGGTACTAACCTTATCAGACGATTTACTTAAATTAGAGTATTCTTCTAGAGGATAAACATTTACACGATTGTCGTCAGATATAGTTGTCAGGAAATAACTACGATCAGATATTGATAATTCTTTATGTTGGGACATCAGAGAGGAAATCTGTACAACAAAAACTTGAAATTAATACGAGGAAATAGTCGAGGTACAGTCGATTTGCATTGAAAAAGTCCAAATTATCAATTGAAACAATCTTGTCAAAATGAAGACCATGTCATTAGTAAAAAACTAACGCTGATATAGTGGAATCAGGGTGAATATTTGACAAGAATCTCATTTTTAATTTGTATTTCAGCACCATATTGGCGAATATAACTAAGTTCATTGAATTGCGACTGTAATTTTCGAGGCACATCAAATACCAGAAACAGCTGAGGAAGAAGAAATTTGAAAGAATAAAACACACGTTGTCTATGGCGATGAAAAAATTTAAGCCTAAACTTTGATCAATCTTGACTGTTTTTTAGCTGGTTCTTCCCAATGACATGATCGTTTTAAGAATGAAATCAAATCTTTTCAATGTGAATTGACAGTAACATGCTTTGACAGTTTAAATCAGAGAAATTTCAATTGATGAAATATCTTGATATAATAGCTTTGCTTCCTTCAAATTTCCATAATCCAAATAAAATATATTACCACTGTTTCTGGATATAGACCAGATAAAATTTTTCCTTGTGAGCATTTTATAGATTCTTTGGGATAACAAAGGGCTGGGAAACAGAACCAATAATAATATTGATATTTTTTCAGATCCTAAAGAACAGAAATAAGAATGTATCAGAATTTTCATTTTCCATTCATGACTTTATTTACTAAAGTTCGAACAGCTTACCGCGTATACAACAAGTATGAAACGAGACAGGAGAGATGGAAGGTTATCCACCAGTTCCGAGCTTCTAACACCATTCCAAATCTGCAGGTAAAAAGAAATAAATTACAATGAGTTGACTTAAAATGCAGCTTCATATTTTCTATCTCCTTCACATCTTCGAAATAACATCACATGTATTTCCCTATGCAACATAAATCGGCATTATAATACACATGTTTATGGGCCACCAAAAATATTCATACAATTTGAATTTACTCGTCCAATAGAGCCTATTACATGAACAGCTGACGAGCCTGTAAGGTTTTCATTGTTGCATTTGAAAATAAAGTGACACATCAATAATCATATGTTTTGCTGAGACTCTGCCTTGGATTCAAAATGTCTCACCTGATTTCCAATTTTTTCGGTTAAAACTGTTTTATCTAAAGCTTTAAAATCCTCTACTGTATTCGCAATTATCATGGTACCATAAATAGGAAATTTTTTGCTGTCATCCCATGAGTCTCTAAATATAAAATGAAAATTAAAAAGGCATAACATTAGATACACTCTAAAATTACATCTAACCATTACAAATGAATACTTACTTGATTTCAAAAGATTCAAAATCCAGAGATACAATTGGTGGAAGACCAGCTGATGAATCTAATTAAATGACAATCAAAATAGATTATCTGGGACATCGGTAAAAGAAGAATAAGAAAACTTACCATTCCTGTAAAAGGCTTGTAATGGAATTTCACTTTCATCCAATTTGTAAACATTCAATTTATTTTGTGATAGAGTGTGCCAAAATGATGTTTCAATCAGTGAACTGAATGGAAAATACTTCACATCATGTAGTTCCATGATTATAAAAGATCAATTAAAAAACATTAAGCAATAATAATAAACTATAATTTGGCTATTTATAAAAAAAACAAGTTAACAATCCAAGCTGTATGAACTCAACTCTCAAATGGTTAGAAACAGAAAATGTAAACTGAAAGCTTGTTTCTCCACTGAATGGCGTTGATCTTTACACAGAGTAAAAAATAATGCAGCTTATGTCATTTAAAAAACTACGTTGAAATTAAAGTAACCATTTAATCAAATGATTTTGTATAAATTGAAATTTTTTAAAATTGGCTAACTGTTAACCAAGACTGGTAGCTAAATAAGAAAGAGTAAAGAAGTACTCTTTGCTAAATAAGCACAGATAAAGACAGTGATTAGTCCAATATGGAAATGAATGTGGCAAAAAAACCTAAAATTAAAATAGCAAAAGCTAATAAAAATGAAGGCAAAGTTTTGATTTGAAAGCTAAAAAAGCATTGAGATTAAGTCTTGGTTTGAATCAGTTAAACTCAAATATCTCGAAGCTACATTCGGGCTTCGACCTCTTCTTTAAATCTCACAAATTTTCGCGGCATCGGTTTAATCCATTCTTATCTTGATTTTTTAATCTGATATCAAATCCAATGTTATAGTAGATTGTCTTCGGGACAAACATGTTGATTTTTGGCAGCTCATACATTTACCTTATCATCTCACCTTTACTCTTTGAACTTTACACAGAGTAAAAAACAATGCAGCAAAACAAAACAAAGCAAAGAGTAAAGGAAGCTTCCTTTACTCTTTGAGCTTATGTCATTTAAAAAACTACGTTGAAATTAAAGTAAAGTATGCTTTTCCAGTTGTTCAATCGGAAATCTCGATTTCTTGATTTGCTTATCTGTGATTCAATAGACGCATATTATCATTGATTTTTGTTGGTTTGAAATAAGTTCCTCGATCATTTTATTGTTTTGAATCGATTAAAGTTTTACATCGGCTGATAAATGGTTTCATCTCTACTTGTATTAATTTACATAAAAACAGATTAACTTGTGGAAGTAGATGGAAGAAACAAGGATGAAATAATTGTAGAAATGCTTAAATCTAAAATTTTTTGTAGATACAAAAAACAAAACAAAAATCTTTTGTATTGCATTCAGAGTTGAAAATAGTTTTTACAGATTCTCCAGATTCGATGTGGATTTTTGTTATATTCAATTCACTTGAGTTGATTAAAGATTTTCAATTATCAAAAATATTATGCAAAAAAATAATGTCCATATTGATTATGACTAAATTTAAATGTCTATCCAATAGACTCAATTGTCTTTGTAAATGCCATTATTTTGAAAAAGCTTGTTAAACTAATTTAAATTCGCTTGGTGTTAACATTGATCAAATATTTGCAACAATGAGTGAGAAATTGTTTTTCATGGTGATGACCATTTGATCCATTTGAACTTCTTTCTCTTTCTCCTAAAGCGACTTCTCTTGTATAAATATCCAAGCCATATTGACCATCATCAGGAAATTTACAAAAAAATGTAACAATATCATCTTGGACAAAAGTTGACACATATTTCAACAGTTTCTTTTCTTCGACTCCGTTTTTATGGAGAGATGCCATGAAATCAGTTAATGGTCTTGACATTCTAAATTGAATTTCAACAGTGGATCCAGATGCAAAAATAAGAGCTTCCTGGTGAGTCAAAGCAATAAGACCAAAAAGACGGGTTGCTTTCATGGGTCCCCATTCACCAGATGCACAATCTGGTAAGGGAACCATAACAGTGTCCAAACGTGAACAAAGAATCTTAAATTTACAAACAGATTTAAATTTCATTGGTTCACCAGTTAGATATTCACGAGGTGTTGTAGCATTGGCAAATATATCCATGATAAATTGACCATAGGTTGGTGCATGAATTCTGAAGGAGACGATATTGTTGGACACTGATTGCATCACGTATCGTTTGAGTGAGCAACCTTCGAAAGTGTCTGAGCCAGCAGCTTCACTACCTGATTCACCACAAAATTTAAGGTTATAGTGGAAAATAAGAGATGGACTCATCCGAGTAGGCATTCCTATACGAACATTACCAGCACCCGAAGAATCTGTATGAAGAACTGCTTTGGTGTCTTTGTCATCGGGAAAATAAAGTTGATAACGGAAAAATAGTGACCTCACAAAAGGCAGCTCTTCAAATTCAATCAAAGTTAATGGATGTTTCAACAATTGCCATTCATGTTGCAATGGATAAAACTCGTAGATGAATTCCCTTGGATCCGTGAGGAAGTAATGATCATCATATTCGTACCTAAGGGAATCTGATTTGCCACCTTTTGCTACAGATCCGGGTCGAGGTACTTCTTTGGCATTGACTAAATGTCGTGCTCCCCAGTTGCATTGAACAAAACGCCAACCACCGGCAACATAAACAGCGTTCCATGAATTACGGAATCGATTATCTTCAAATCGTATACCTGGTTGATAACCAGCTGATTTAGAGTATCCTTTGATGACTACACAATGAAGACCAGCATAACTGAGCAAAAAATGAGACAAAAATATTAAAAGTGGGAAAAGATCAATGCTACATCTGCTACTACAATTGATTGATTAGCAATCAATGTTGAGTGTAGAAGCGTTTTTTGAAAACTTATTCATCGATGACTTTGAGAAACAGTTTTCAAAAATGTCCCTGAATAAGATTCGAAGGTTACCTGCATAGCCTTTTGAATAACACATGATAACTTTCAGTTCCATGTTTAATTCCTCGCAAGATACCCATCGGAGTATCAGCGTTAACATTATCGTCAAATTGCATGGTATTAAGATTCTTAACGGTGATCCAACGAAATATGGCGCGAGCTTTCTCTATATCATTATTACATGGACTAATAAGCAGTCTTACTAAATCGGTGAAAGTATGCTGATCTTCTCGAGCAACCTGTTATTAAATAAGAAGGAAACAAAATTAAACATTTTAATCAAACAATATTTTCGAGTCTTTGAAACAAGATAAACTTACATTTATAGCCACCTCGTCAATATGAGTAAACACTTTAGGATCAGTGTAAATCTCTGCTTTTGAAATTGAAGGAGGACATGGCGGTGGAGCTTGACTCGGATAAATTGTAGTGTTAATTTCTTCATTGATCAACCTTCTATCATCAATTGGTTCAAGATTCTGTTGAAAATATTTGGAGAAAATTCATTGTTTCATTATTATCTAAAAACTACTAAAATGTTTTCAAAATAGTAAATAATGGTTTAGTTTTTGTACCTGATGATATTCAACAAGTTTCTCGCTAATCAAGCTCATCATCTCTTTGCTTTGTTTGTCAACCAATTCAGCAGTTGCTTGTCTTTCTTGCTCAAGAAGCTTTCGGGTCAACGATTCTTTCTTCCGGTCCAATTTAATGGTCATATTTTTTTCAAGATCTTGTTTCTCTCGTTGTAATCTGAGAGTCATTGCTTTCTCTTCATCTGAAGAAAACTTTCGACTCTTTTTCATCGAAATCTCATGTTGAAATCTTGATGTTAACCTTTCCAATTCCTTTTCCCATTCCTCTTGAATCTGTTGACTAATGGTGACCTCTTCTTCAGCTCTTTTCTTGGCAAATTGACGATATAAAGCATCCTCTTCAGCTCGGTGTCGCATCTCAAGCTTCCTCTGAGTCTCTTCATCCTGAAAACAAATAAAACAAAAACAAAAATTAATACAAATAATAATAAAACAATAACATTCCAAAAGACAATAACCAAATAAAAAACCCGCTTAAAAATTCAACCCCCAATTAACTAATGATAAACAAAAACAAATAAAACTCGCCATCTCTTGGATCTAATCATGACTAAAATAACATCTCATTCAATTGCTAAATTCAAGTCAATTTGAATTATTTATAATTTTTCTAATCATCGATTCATATTTATAATAAAACATCAGATAAATCATAGTAGCTCAAAAATAAAATTCAGTTCCCATAAGCAGTTAACAACGGCAAAGGATAGATTCAAACAGTAACATTAGGCTGAATCAAACAAGGCAAGGTTTACTTTGAAAAAATTAAAAACTCTACCTTGATTGCTCATTAAAAACTGATTAATTATGATTACTGATCTTAATTTAGTGTTGATCTAACTGTAATTCAGTCTAAAATAGTCTGTATTTGTAAAAATTAGCTTCATGTTTGTAAACAATCAATCCTTAGTAATAAGATCACCATTACGAGTGTAGGAGTGTGTATCATAATCATCATAAACACAAATTTGTTAATATTTAAACAGTAATTGAAATTCTGAGCTTCAGCCTGAAGCATTCCGAGAGTAATTTTAATCTAAAAAAAAAGATTGTAAAATTGAATGAAAAACAAAATACATTTGGATCAATGAGGATTAAATTACCCAAAATTAACCTCAAATGAGTGGTTAATAAAATTTGCCGTTTTGCCCCAGCAAAGTAACTGTTGTCCTAATCATTTTAGGTGGGATTCAGTAAACATTTTCGGATCATTAAACTCTTCCCTTTAATTGTCATCAAAAATGATCATCAAACACCTTTTTCAATATGTTAAGGTTTACTGGGTTTCTGGTTAAAATCAATGACTGGTTAACTGTTAATCGACCCAGTGATATCAATAATTATCTTGGTAAACATTTTCAAAAATTGATTTCAAATCCCAATCAAAACCATGTTAACAATGTTAACCATTTAGCTAATAAAACATGAAGCTGCAAGATGAAATTGATTTTCAGATGATTGGTTCATTATTATCAACAAATGAATTATAATCAACATACGTGATGATCATGATTGTTGAATAATTGAAAGTTAAATTGAATAACTTGCCTTTCAAAGAGCATTTTAATTCAATTATCTGATTATCTGGTTTGCCAAATATTATCCCAAAAGCAAGGCTTGGTCAGCATTATTATTTTATAACATTTTTGATTATTTGGATAACTTGGGAAGGAAGTTCATAATAACAATCATCATGATAATAATCATCATTATAATAGTTTAATGATGAAAATTGAAACACGATAAAATCTTTCATTTTTATCCCATCAATCAGTATTTCAAATGTTAACCATTTCATAGTCTCGAGTGAAATTAAAAAGATGAAATTAAATTTGATAAAATAAAGTAAAAGTTGATTGTCAAAGGATAAATTTGACTTTTAATTGTATACAATTATTTGATTTTTTACAATTTCATTTTACCTTTAACCCAAAAGCTGGACTTTTCAGTGACTATTTTTTGAAACCCAAAATCTAAAGTTAATACAACAAAGTAAATGATTAAAATTGATTAATATTTACTGCTATTATTAACTCGATCACTTCAATCAATAATTGCTGCTTCAAAAGCGACCAATAGTCAACCATTTACACGTGATGAGTCTCCATCAACTGACCATTTCAACAATAAATTATTTCCGATTAATTGCACTAATCGCTAAACAAGATGATAATAGGTTTTGTTGAGTTACTTTCAAGCATAGAGACACACACGTGACGGTCAGATTATTATGGTCAGTTTTTAAAATGTCAACAGATTGAAATTAAAATTGGTTCATGAAGAGCAAAACTGTTCAAAGCAATCAATCAAATTGTTGATGAAAAATTCAACGCAAACTCGCCTTTAAAATGATTTCATATAAAAATCATTTTCCCATTGAAATTGTATTGACAAACAAAAGTCTAAACCTTTTAGTAAAGTCTAGTTAAGTTAACCAAACCAGTTAACCCAAAATTTTGCGATTCTATCACTCAACTATAAAGTTAACCAGTTTTGTCAGCTGATACTTGGATTTATAGTAAAAATGTTCATCAACAAAATTAAAATTGTTGTCTTTATAGTGATATTTGGTGTCGCCCTGAGTAAAAGACGTTTCTCGGAGATTGAATCAATATTGAACAACGATTTAAACAAAACAGTTGTTCAAGCTCCAAGTGAAAATATTATCGGAGTCCTTTCAGAGTTGGAAAAATATTTGGCAATTGTAGGAAGACCAAGGTAAGTTGAAACGATTAAACCATTTCCTCACAGAAACATTGATTATTATTCAATCTCACTCTTAATCACTGAATTTTAATCATGCCAGGTTTGGTCGAAGTTTGAATCAAAAATCATCAAGTAAATTGGATACATTTGATTGTAACAGGATTTGTGACAAATTGTTCAGATAACCCGAAACCAAAGAAGAAAACCAAAGACCCAAACCCAAACCAGATAAAAGCCAAAATCAATGACAAAAATTGGGTTAACCCAAAAGTCAGTTGATTCAACCTCAACATATACTTGAAATTAATTACTCAATTCAGCCACTAAATTGAAAGAAAAATGTTGATTCTGTAAATTTAACCTTAATTTAATAAACTGTGATTAGATTGAAATTGTTTCAATTTTGAGTAAATGTTTTATCGCGCAAAACAGCTGATCAAATGTGGATTGGTGTAATTATAATTCACTGTGAATATAAGCAGGGAAAATGTGAGAAAATTATTAATACAATTATAATTAGTGTTAATTGTTCAACTCTGTTTTGCAGCTTTTCCAAATTGATAATCAACAGTAAAAAAAAGAGGTCAAAAAGGCCTGAAAAGAAGAGGTCAAACAAGAGCAACAAATTAATATGATAATTTGTGTTTTTTTTGGCTAATCAAATGTTTCCGGTTGACCCTCGTTGTTAAGGATGGTCCTTTTCTCAGATGATGAACATGGTTAATTGGACTCTGTGAGTTGATTCAATTGATGGTTGAAACACACCATGAGAAATTGTTGATTGTTTAACAGATAAACTACTGAGTTAACTATCAATTGTAATGATGAGAATTGGATGAGGTCTGAACTTTTTCTCCTTAACATGGTTAGTTGCTCTTGAAAACATGGAGTTTCTCAATTTACTGGTGAATTTTTCATCTCATTTCAACATTTGAATATGAAATGAATCTCAAATGAAATCTCGACTCAATTTGAATACAAAAAGCATCTTCAATTTATAACAATTAGTTATCAGACTTGATCTCCTTTTGTATCGACAAATGAATTATCAATTGACAGCATCGAAATTGAGATTTGAACATTTTTAAACAAATTGATTGAATGTGAAACACAAATAAAAGATAACTAAATTTAGGGCAATCAATGAATCAAGTATTTTGATAATGTATTTATGGATACAACAGAGTGAGTTAATTGAGAAACTCAACTGAACGTCTTCAATCGGGAAAAGATGAATCTTGAAATTGTTATTAAACTTGGTTCCTTCAGACTAATCATGATATTGCTATTGATATTGATAAAGATGGCAGATATTAAACCACAATAATCAGTGTTGATAGGTGAGGCTTTTAATTGTGATCATGATGATGATCAATGATGAAAAATTGTAATAAAATTTCATTCTCAACAATCAAATACAAAAGCAGGTTAAACTGGAAAGGTTTAACCACAAAGGTTTTTGTTTGAATGAAAGGTAAAAATAAAGGGAAAAAGGGACAAAAATATTGGTTAAATGAGGCAAAAGTAAAATGATTAAATGAATTGAAAATAAATTGTAATCACATTGATTGCAATGGCAATCATTTAACTTTCTCATTTATCTCAACCTACATTTGAAAGCGCAATTCAAGCGCAAGATTAACACTAAATCGAGCTTTTTATTTATTTATTTCTTCTTCTTCTGGTTAAAGGCGTTCAAGATGAAGCTCAAGATGATAATCATGATAATGAAGATAATGATGAACAGGTTAAAGATGATATATAAAGTAAAGAGAGGAAAATAAAGAGTCCAAGTTGATCACTAATATTTCATCTTCGTCAGGTAATCAAGTTGATTCTCAATCAGCAAAAGAGGTAAAAATAAAAGACTCATGGATGAAGATGCAGGAAAGTTACTCTTCTCAATCACCTAATTTGAGTGAAAAACCAGAAAAGATTGAAAGTAATTTAAAGTAATCGAAATAAATTGTGGTCGAAAAAAGAATCGAACAAGAAAATGAAACTAAATCATGATTTTTTCAAATTAAATGATTCACATTTGTTTTTCACAAAATGAAAGTCAAATGATTTTTCATTTTTAAATTTCAATAAAAGCAAGAAGAAAATTCTAGATGGAAATTGATATTGAATTGAATTCTTGAAATACTCAGAGAAGATCATGTAAAGAGTGAAAGAAACTAACACGAAATGCTATTAATCCTTACCGGTCAATTAAAGTAAAAGACTGATTTTTTGGGTTGAATTATGATATAAATGAAGAAAATAATTTACCAGAAACTCTTCAATTTTGGCTTCATCGGCAGCATTTTTGTAGTTGCGCTGTAATTTGGTTGCATTGATACCGTGTTGAATGTGAAGGGCTGAAGCATCGAATCGTCCGGCCATATTTTCACGGTTCCGATGTTGCTCAGGTTCGTAGGGTTTAGGTGTTGATAGAGCTGTTTTAATGCCAAGAGCTTCCACGTCAAAGGTACCTTTACCACTTCCACGGATTTGATCATTAACTAGATGATTGGGTTTGGGTATGTTGAGCGCTTGTTTAATCCCAACTGATAGTCCGTCCAGTTTACCTGGACCTGTTTTAGGTACGTGACTCTGACAATAAACCTGTAACAACACAATAACAATAAGATAATCACAATTTAGGTAACAGATTAAATGAAGGCAAAAGGATTTCAGTTGCTAGGAATAATGGTTAAGGATTTTCAATCTTAAAATGACTTTCATTCAAATGATGCTTTTAGTCAATTGAATGAGCATTTTAAAAATTCAGGGTCAGATTAAGACACAAACACTCACACACAAATGCACAATCATGTGAAGGTTTGATTGTTTAATATTAAATTGTTGGCGATGGTAAAAAATCAAATTGCTAGAATAATGAAAAAGCCAAGTTTCCCATTTAGGAAGTTATCTTGTAGGTTGGTTTCATTAGGTTTTTGGTTTAACCTCGATTGAGACATTTGCGTATTTAATTGTGATTAAAGTTTAGTTAACTTTGATCAAAATGTTGTTGCCCTGTTGCTTACTATTAATACTCAATTTGTCGTGTGAATCTATTATCAACAGTAAACTTATTAATCAATCTGATGTGGATTAAACTAATTACAATCACTAATAATAGTGTTATAATTGTTGCTTTAAAAAGGTTTGTTTTTACCAAATAAATGCATTTCTTTGAAACATTGAAGATGAAAAGAAGATAATTAATGAGCTCAATTGTTAATTAATCAGCAAATAATTGAAAAAAGCAATGAAAACAATTCATTAATTAGCCTTTAAGCACATTATCATTTGATTTACTGAATAAAATTCTGGTTAAAAGACGCAAAGTGTTGATTGTTGGAAAACAAGTGAAAATCAATTGTTGAAAAAAGATGAATCAACATGAAAACAATCTAGAACAATTAATTGTATTGTTAATTGTTGGTGTAAAGAGTTGATAATTTTTAATGTTATTATCAACTAATGGTACAAGTTGAAAAAAAGGATAAAAATGGGAAAAGTCAGTCTTTCATTGGGACCATTTTATCATGTAAAAGTGCATTTGAAAATTTCGTGTTTCACGGTCCTGTCAGATAATTATATCATCAGATTGATTATTATTCAAGAAAGTTTATCATTCATTGCTTCCTTGTCTTTACCCTTTACCATTTGTTATCCTCATCATCTTCCTCCTTCACCTTCCCAATAATACAATCAAATGTACATTATTATTAGAACCATGTAACTAGTGGTTCAACGGGTCTATCAATAAGTCTACATGATGATTATGATGGGGATGAGTAGAAGAAGAAAAGATATTTTTACAGTAAAATTGAGAAGACAATTTTGTGTTCAATTGGCCTTAAAGTGAGGCACGTTCATGATAGTTAAGGTTATCATCGTAAAGATAGATCAAGGTTTGCTTCCGTAAAAAAGGTTGACAATAAGATTATTGTTGTTTATTGTAGTCAACTATTGACTGATTATGTTGACAATAATATGGTTAATATTTGTTTATATTTTTTATTGATGTCGTTTTTGTATCGTAAATGATTTCTTGGGTTGTTGACTTTTTCAGGTATGTTTTTGCCAACTTTCAATGGCAACAACAATTAACAATTCAATGTTTCTCGTTATTTTTGCTTGTAAGTGTCTCAAATTGTTATAATTTACAGATTTGAATGTGGCTTAAAGTGAAAGTTGATTATTGGATGAAAGAAGGAAATTGTGCTAACAGTAAATTCAATTGAATTGAGGTTTATGGTCAACAGTTTCTAGGTGTGGCTATTGAAGCAACGGAAATTTTAACCACTTTAAGGTTGGGTTAAATTGTTGCATAGCGTTAACCAGTTATGTGACAATTTGAATCATTTTAATATTTTACTTTTATGTCTGAGCTTTTCAGCCTCTAAATACAAACAACTGGGATTGACTTAATCATTTGGTTAATTGTATAATACTGTTTAGATTAATTGATTGTTCAACTGTATTCAAAGGTATTGAGTTTGGACAGTAAATGATATTCAGTTATTTCCTACTTTTAACAGATTTACTTTATAACCAAATTATTCATCAGGATTCACACTCATGGTGAGATTATGATAATGGTCATGAAGATTATCATGAAAATGGTTTGTAATGAGAGGATGAGAAGGAAGAGATTTGGGCAAGCTGATGACCCAATCTGGTTAACTGAATCAACATTAATATCGTCTGCTTTGACTGTTCACTGTAAATGAACAACAGGGTGACAACGTCAAGAGTCTGATTAGGATCATCATTTTTTGCTCATCTTTACATCAAAAAAACGCATCTTCTTGTGTAAATGAAGCAAATGTATTTAAGGATCAAGTGAATTAGACTGAAAAAGAGACTGATGTGATGTTCACCATTAACATCACCATTTAAGTACATTTATCATTATTGTTATTAGTATTTATTGTGATAAATGGCTTTCGATTCCTTAACAAAATGATAATTGGAATCAGAAAAAAAGAGAGATTCAGTTAAGAATTTAGGTGAAAAAAAAGATGAACAAAGGATCATCAGGTGTTGATTTGATCTGTTTATTTGAATCACAATACGGATATTTTTTAACAGCTTTTGCGTTCAAAATAACTGTCTTCAGTCTGATGATGATAACGGTAATAATCTGTTAATGTTATTGTCTTAACTTGTTTTATATCAATTGATGAAAATTTAGTTTCAAATGAAATCTCAATGAAAACGGATTTAACTTGATATATTGTTCAATTGGATATGAAAAGCTTTTCTTTACTTTAACCGATTCAGATCAATTTGTATGTAACATTTGACTCTTATACTGGATAATAACGACTTAATTATGATATTTAAAAAGGATTTGGATTAAGATTGAGTTATGCATGAGATATGATTAAGATATAAATAATGTTTTAATCAGCATTCATTGTTATACTGATTGGTATGACTGATCACATTTACGGATGTTTGGTTATCAGGTGAAACAAATTGCAATTGTAAAAGTTACATTGTGGTCAATTGAGTTGTTTAGTTAAATATGTTTCAAGTGAAGGTTAAGTTAACCATTAGATTATTAGTAAATTAATTAGAGCTTTTAGATTGCCTTTCATTAGTGATTTACTTAGCCTCGAATCAAGGTTATCATTACAATTAGTCGATTGTTAATGTTAGCAGGTTCTTTGGGTAGACTTTCATTTAAGAGCATTTAATTGCAAATCAATCTGTAATTTAAGTTAAGGTCGATCTAGAAAAGACAGAAATCAAATTAAATGAAACATTAATCGAACAGCCAGAGTTTACAATTAGATTCAATGTAAAGTGATTTACCATTTTTTAAAATCATTTCAACTGTTTGTAATTTGTAAATTGTCAGCTGTGATTGAGTTTGGGTGGATTTTGTACTGATTTAAGTTACAAATTGATTACTAATGATTGTGCTAATGCATTCACTTAAAAGGTTGTTAATCAAGCAAATCAAATATATTTTTTGATCATTGAGCAGTGAAATTTAATCTCATAAGGTAAGCTGATTGTAATTATTCATTTTAAATCAACAGGTTAACAAGGTTAACAATATCAAAGCTATTTCTGGTTTTTACCTTTAATACAATTTATGAGCAACCAAAAAATTGAGATTAATGACAAGTTAACATGATAACAGATATTTAAGGTTCAAGAGGTTTAATTTGATCCTTACATTGTGGCCAGAAATTTAATATGCCAACTCAATAACAATTTTGGCAAATATCAAATTTCCCTTCTCTTTTCAAGATTTGACTAAGGACAAGTGTCAACCTGATTAGTAGATTGTTTGAAACATTTGGTGGTCCTAAAAAAAGTTGACCATAAATAATAATAATGATGTGCGTTGTGTGTTTGGTGATAAACATTAGACTTGGACTTATCATTTTACCTGGTGAGTTTGCCCTTTTTTATGTTTGGTAGCTCAATAACAATGTGAATGTAATTAAGGGATTGCATGCAAAACAAAGATGGAGACTGAAAATTAATGTAGTGACAATTGGACAAGCAGAAAAACCAGAAGGAAAATAATCAACAGAGTTGACCAGAAGTGAAGGTTTAGAGATAAAAATATCTCATTTCTCAAGGAATGGGATTGTTTAATGGAAAAGGTTGAAAGAGTTAGTTTATGATGATGATGTCTTTCAACCGGTTAGAGATGATGGAGTTACAGGTCAAGGAAAGTTAGATAATGAAGTTGAATGAAAATAAAGGTTGACAAGAGGAACCATTAACTATTGCTTGTAACGGTTACCTCTGGTATCACTAGCAGAGGGTTATCTTGTTTGTCAGTGGATTCAAAAGGTTAGCGCTTTTGTGTATTCTCGAAGCTTCAGTATTTTAGACAATCGCTATCATATTTTACTAGCCAATGGACCTCTCAATGATGATGGGTCAATTGCATATCACGATGAACGATCTTCATCTCCTAATCCAGTCAGCTTACAAAGTGTTGGCATAGTTGACACAACAACTCCAACTTTAATTCGTTTGCATGGATCTCTTATGACCATCACATGGGTTGGAATAGTGAGTTTGGCCATTATCATTGCCCGTCATTACAAGGAATCGTGGGATGAAAAAACCATGTGTGGTGTGAAAATATGGTTCATTCTTCATCGAAGTTTAATGATTTTAGCGATAATTTTTACCATTCTCGGCATTATTGCGCTATTTGGTCACGCTGGTCAATGGCATGGAAACAGTTCACACCAATATCTAGGTCTTATTTCATCTGTCCTTATCCATTTTATTGGATATTAGCATCTCATATTGTTATTTATGTTGCTATTCATCTAATGATGCAATGTCACTCTGCAATCATTTCATCTAAAAAACGAGTGATCGAAGAAGCTCATGAGTCTCTCAAATCATATGCCGTCACCTCAACATCGTCTCCTAGTCCAGCATCTCGAGTTGGTGAAGGCTTTAGACAATTTATGCTTGGCTTATACGTTGTGATTATAACAGTTTCAACAGCTATTCTTGTTTTGAGCATCATTTTACAATCAAAGTAATAATAACTAGCATAAAAGCAATTTTTTGAATCAAGTGAAACCCAACAACAATCAATGAAGAACCATGGACATTTTTTGTTCCAACTTTCCGAGCTTTTGTTCAGCTCGCCAATGTACCGTTTTGAACCGCTGATTTTAAGTTCATTCATTTTTTTCTTCAACAAATTCTTAAAATTTAACATCGAAATCACCTATTGATTACCGTCATGCTCATCAACATTGACAACATCTTCATTATAATCGCCAACCTCGCTCTCTCATAGTTACCAAGTTAATGGACGAGTTTAGTTTTCCCATTTAGACTCATTTGTTATTGTAAATACAATGGCTGAATAATTAATCAGGGTAAATCAAATATCATAATTTTTCTTTTGCAATGTTCATAGACTATTCATTTGATCAGACTGACTATCAGAGACTTTTCTGAATTCACGATTCACAATAGAAAAGAAATCATTTATTCAATTTATTTTCAATTTCGATGATCATGCTTCATTATTTTCACAGTAAAATTGATCTTACTTTCTCTAGTCTACCTTCAAGTATATCTTTTTTATTCAGCCTTTTAGTCTATTAAAATTTTAATACCAGTAATTATGATGATGATAATGTCTTTCAACCGGTTAGAGACGATTGTTCAGGTAAAGGAAAGATGGATAATGTAGTTGAATGAAATAAAGGTTGACAAGAGTATATGCTGGACATTTATACACAAGTCCAATGTACATTGAATGATTACTCTCCGGATACATCTAACTGGTTCCAGGTATTACTGTACTAACGAAAGGTGTATGTGTGTGTGTGTTTGTGTTTTATGTTTACTTGAATAGAGGAAAATGAAAAGGGATAGGAAGATGATATTATTTACCTCTTTATCATCATTGTCTTGTTGATTATTGTAATAGGTTTTTAAGGTTAACTTGGTTCCACAATTGGCGCATTTGAAGCAACCTTGATGGAAAAAGGTGAAGTCTTTCAATGGTCCAATTTTGTCCACTTGGTACACAACGTGGTTACAACGGAGACAGTGATTTTCATACATACTGTTACCCATTTTACGTCCACCGTTGTTTAGACTAATAGTTGTTGCCATGGTCAGGTCAAATGGGTTGAAAGACACAGTCAACAGACACAAAAAAAAGATTAGGTTAAAAAATGGTTGAACGTTGAATCATCCAAATTGGTATTCCTGTTTTGTTAACTTGTGCTGGTATCTTTTTGGTTTATTGGTTTCTCTCGGTATCTTTGGCTTTTCAACTTTAGTTACCAATTATGGCCAGTAATAATACACTTAAAACATTTGATTAATGTTAGGTTAAGGTCACAATCAACCAATGGTGAAAACACAGTCGTGGAACAAGGTAAAAAAAATGGAAACACAATAAACTAAAACTTGTGCCACATGTTTTCAGCTTATTCACTTATATTTCTTGATAAACCTTCTCCTTGTATTTGAAGGAATCATTGAATGGTGATCAACAGGATCATCATATCAGGCTAAATTGTCACCTTATTGATTAGCTTGGTTGGTTGGTGTTTTCTTGGATCAGCAAATCAATTGTTACAACAGAAAACAATCAAAGAAGAGCAAGCAAAAAAACGGCAAAACATAAAAAGCAAGTGCAACAGTTAATATGAAAAAAGCTGGTAAAGATGAGTAGTCAGGCCAAAGTTGTTACCAGATATCAAATGTAAACCTTTCAGTTTACAACATTTGAACACAAAAATTATTATGAAAAATTGATAATATTTAGAAATATTTATATTACTATATTTTTATGTATATATCAAATCACAATTATAATGAAAACATATTAACAGCAACAATTTATGACAGGTTAGATTACAAGACAATTGAAGTGATATTGTATTTACATGAAAACACACAAAAGTATAAGGTTAGACTGTCAATAAAACAACAAACAACAATATACAACAAAACAAAACAAGTGATATGTAAGAAGTGTAATGTGAGGGCTGATTGTTGATCAAAATGATAAACAATAAGCAGGCAAACAAATAAAGCTGTGATGATCGATGAGAAATGATCCGATTAAACTTGTAACTTATCACTGTTGCGAGGGTTAATCAAAGGTTAATACCTTTCACCTTATTTTTAGTTGTTTTGGTTTTTTCTCCTTGGTTTCTATTTCTTTCAAAGTAGGTTTGGTCAAAGAGATTTGACCATTTTCAGATGGTAACACGGTAAGAATGGTGATGATGATGATATTGTTGATGATGATGAGATGGTTGATGAAGGAGTTGGGTTAGGTTAGACAAAGAGAAAAGAAGAAGAAGAAGAAGAAACAAGAGAAAACGATGAAGAAGAAAAGGAAAAAGAAGATTTATTCTCAGGTTCTACCTTTACTCTTTGGTTGGGACATAATTTTCATTTCTACTTGGGCCAACAACAACTTATGAGAAAAAGCATGCAAGATAAGAGTAACAAGATGATGATGATGAAAAATGAAATAAAGAGAGAGAGAGAGAGAGAGGAGAGTGGGGAGTGGGGAGGGAGGGAAAGCCTGACCTAACGTTGTATGACGTGGGGATACAAAAGTGTGTAATAGAGGCAAAAGCTACTCAACCAAAATAAAAACAAGTTTTCACACACAACTTCAGCTCTCTCTTTCTCACTGTTTTTTTTCAATCTCTCATTCAATCGTCATCATCATCATGTTCACCACCATCATTGTCTTCATCGTCTTCTTCATCCTCATCATTTCTTTAACCTTTGGCATCATCTTTTCACTTGACAACAAACCTTTCAGTCAATTCGCAACACTGTTAACCCAAATGGCAACTCTTGTAGGTTTTCAACAAAAAATCCTGGTTAACTTGGCGAAATCTTGTAACTCTGGTTAACTCTGGTGCTTTTGGTTCAATTTTTGGCCTGCCAAGTGTTGATTATTTTATTAATAATTCATTGTTAGTCAGTTAATTGACATAAATCCCGGAAATCATTTGTTTAAGCAAATATTATTCATTATAATCAGAATCATCTTTTATTCCAATACACTTAATACATTTGCCTGTTGACATCAATGCGTTAGTATTGTTAACACCATTAACATTTAACATTTGCTTTTCCCATTTTTTGTATCCATTTTTTAATCATCATCATAATGATTATTAAATGATACTAAATGGTAATTACAATTCACTCACTTTCAAATATTTGTTGTATTTCATATTTAGCTCATCAAATATTTTAATTCAATACGTAACGTTTGTTCCAGCTTTTTGTTTCAATATAAAGTGTTGACCAATGTTAATGAAAAAAAACTCATTTTTTGGGTCTTGTCATAATGAAATACACATACTTTGGTGGTGTGTTTGTTACCTGATTTGGTTGATTGTCTGAGAGTGAAAAATTTCACCTTTTATTGTGAGATTAAAATGATGATTCTTTAGCTAATGATATCAACAAGTTTACATATATCATTGTTTCCTCACTTTCAATTTTAAATAATGATAATAATCATGACAACGTAACAATATTGATGTGAAAAAATGATGATGATAATAATGAAACTTTGGGTTGAGTTGATTTCATGTTTAAACTCTCACAGAGTGACAGTAAAAATATCAATGCAATTTACTTTGGAGCTTGGCAGAGGAAAAGATTCCATTATACATTGAAAATTCTGATAATGATTATAATAATAATCATTATGATTACAATAACAGGAGTGAATGGTGAAACCTCAAATTATTGTTTCTTGTTTATGCTGCGAGTGTTTGGATACTTGAAATTCTGAATAAGACAATACAGATTATACACATTTGCACGGTGATTGAACACACACAAAGTTATACATATTTGTATCACAAATAGTTAGTTATACTAATCATGCAAGCAAGTGTGAAAGATAACTAAGCATATAATTACTGTTACTACCATTGTTGGAATTATAAACAATAATATCATAATAATCATCTGTTATGATGGAAATATGATGCTAATAATCATGATCACTATTTATGCCCAATGATCAGAGACTGCCATCAGAGTTACATGTAACTAATAGTCGAATGGTGAATGTGTCTCCGCGTCTTTCAACCTTTCTTCATATCTGAGGCCAAATTATCTTTATTTCCTCTCTTTTAGATCCAGTTGATGATATTCCTGGTTGCAGTTGTTTTCCTTTCTTTGATTGTGATTGATAAGTTTAGAATCAACCAGAGAACGAAATAATCCCATTTGCTTTGTTTGATTGCTTCAATGTATAGAAATTACAATGTTTTCTTGTTTTTTTATTTCATCGTCTTTCTGGTTGCCTTGTTGATGGCACTGAGCCAATAAAAAATTTAAAAGAAATTTAAACAAAAAAAGCAAAACAAAGATAATTAGAAATGGTTTGTTTCAAAATCTTTATAAAATGAAGGTTAATTTACCTCAGTTTTGGTTTTTCATCTCAATTGTTTTGTCCTTTGTCACCATCCTTTTGTTAACCATTTTTTCTTAGTACCTTTGAAGTCTTTTGTTTCATTCTGGATAAAATTCACTGACACAAGTTAGACAATTACATATCGGACTAATCAGTCATTAATTCACATGTGGATAAAAACCAGAACCAGATTTCAACAATTTATTTCAACAACAACAAACTTTCGTTCTGCGTTTTAAGCGCCATCTCTTGATTACAAAACCATTGACACTTTAAATTATTAAATTAATCAAACAGAAAAAGAAGTAATTTTGTAATCAAGAGATGGCGTTAAATTTACATAGAAAATACAAAAATTGTAAAAAACAAATTGAATTTGAACTTAAAGTGCAATCCAAGTCAAGTTTTGAAGTAAATTGTGAGTTTTTTTACTGAAAACCAGCGATATTTTTTCTGTATTAATAGCAAACACTTTTATTAAGTTGATTTCTGCCTTGAGGATCATCGGTTGGAACCAAATTAAATGTTGGACTTTGATAAATTGATGCTGATTATACCAATTTGTTGGTTCTTTATTTTGCATGAGATTTTGATCTGAAATTTCTTATTTTCAATTTTCTTTATTCCTTATTCTTGTCCTTCATAACCGCAATCGGCTAAATGATCACGTTTATGTTCAATAATAATAGGTTACCTTGTTTTTTCATCTTGATTCGTCATTTTTTGTTATACTTCAACTTATACCTTGTTACACGATGAATGGTATCCTCTTTATAAGCCGTTAAGCTTGTTGCCTGTTTAATAAAATGTATTGCTATACATTTCAATTTGACTGTAACACTGACTGTTGTCAATAAGGTTATTACATTGTACACCAAACATTGTGACATTTAGCCGGTGTGACAAGCCGGAATCAACAAACACTGACATGATGTACTCCAAATGGGAACGGCAAAAAATGTTAACATTACTGTGAGATGTTGATTGAAAAGTGTTAATCCAGACTTGAACAGTTCGGCAAATATTGGTCAAATTTTCAATGAAAATTTCAATTTCACCAGTTTCATATTGTTACTTGATAAGCCTTTGATTGATAAGTTTCATTTCATTTGGAGCAAGAACTGTTGAATTTACTGTAATAAAATAAAAGTCTAACAAAAAGTGTAGTTTAGATCCGATTGAACAATTTGAATATTCTTGTCTAACTCCAGTCATCTTATTAAACGATTGTTCCTTTTTTGACGATTATTCAATAAATGCTCAGTCATTCAATAAACAATCTCCTGGAAAATTTGCTATCAACAATTGTGAATAGAATAATTGATTCCAGATTGTAGACTTTGGTAAAGTAGTCCATTTTATTCCTTAATCTTGACAATCCTCGAATTGATTGAGAGGTCAATCATTTAAATTCTGACTTGACATAATTTTCATCTTTGCACCAAAATTCCTTACAATGAAAGCTTTCGTAGTGTTCAAAGAGACGCCAGGTTTATTGATTTATCCGCTCAGTCTTCCGAATTGCTAGGCTATTACTATTTCTTCGATTTCTATAAGCAATGTTTCAAAATAAGAACAAATATCGACTTAAATCATTTTTATGCAAACTTTTAGTAGAATATTTTGGATATTTTTCACATTTCTTTAGTCTGAGCGTAGCGAAGACTATAGGATCAGAATTTTTTTCCGATTTTCAATTTTGTTTTTTCGATATCTTATGAACGATTGAATGTACAGCTTCAAAACTTTGCAATATGATAGAATAAGTAAGCGACTATATTTAAAAGAATTTTTTTTGAGATGCGATCAAAAGGGGGAAAGCAAGGGGCAAAATACCTAAAATCTCAATTTAACCCATAACAGCCATTGTCAAGTGTTTTTGCTTATTTTTTTTAGTCGAACACATAGATCATGGACTGCACTACACGGAGACCAGTTTATTTTATTACTATCTTTATGACTTAAATATTTTCTACACTCTGGAAGTTTTTGTCACTTTTTTTGAAAAGTCGTTTTGGCACCATAACAAGTGTTTATTTCTACTTAATTTTTGAGTCTCTATCGGAAAAAATCATCCCCAAAAAGATCTTACGTTTTCAACATCTTCAAAAGATGTCATCACTAATTTTGGAATTTTCGGTTTTTCTATTTCTCTATACAAAGTAAGGCTAAATTTTTCATTAGATATAAAACTTTGTTCAGCTTTAGATTGGGTTAGGTTTTTAGGTGTTTCGGGAGAGTTTCAGTATATTTTCGCTTGATGTCATTGAAAACAAAAAAATCAGCATGTGAAGTTTGTGACAATTGTTTTTTTTCAAAATCATCAAATTAGTCAATTTCTATCAATCGGAATATATTTAAAATTAATGAATAATCGTTAAACGCTCGCTCAGACTACGCCGGCTCTCGGCTGACCTAGTTTGGATATTTTTCACATTTCTGAGTAGATAAACAACTCCATTAAAGCCTGCACCGCCAACAACAGCAATTGTATCAACACGGTCAACTTCGACAACAACAACTACAACAAAATCAGAGGGTATTTTCTGAGAATGCAAAATTTTTAGATCGGTTAATGCTGGTTACATGTTGATAACGCATCCTGGTCAAAAGACTGTCTTAACTGAACGATATGAATGTTTCCATATCGATTGGTTTTAAGAAAAATTTGTTTAATCTTTTCAACGGTGTAAGTTTTTAACTTGCAACAAACATCAACCAATCTGAAAAAATTTGCATTCTTAAAAAATAACATCCAAATGTCAGTTAGTGGTCAAATAACGCGACCTTGAGCGCTTGAACTTAAGGTCCAATAATCTGCTGAAGCTCATGAATCTGAGGTCTGTAGCATCAACCGTTCGTGATTTATGACTGCTAACATGCTTAAATGAAAAAAACGCACGGTATAGTAAATAAACATTCGAGAAATTGTCATGAAAATTTTTTCTAGTCTCTGGGCACTCACAGGCTGAGTAATAGAATTTTAACATCGTAAAAGGAATGGAACTGGACCAACAACTCGAATCGTTGGTGCATCTCAATTTTCATTATCAACTCGACCTATCCAATAAAAACAGAATCAATGGCAATTATTGCTTTAACTATTTAATATAACCACTAGCTTGATTTTTTTCTTGATTTTGATGTAAAACGTAATTTTTTAGCATTTGAATGCCTTTGGCTTTCAATCTGGTCAAAATTATTCTGAGTTGGTGCTTTTGATTGTTTCTGTATCAAATCTCAGTAAAAAGTGATCATATTAAATATGGTAATAGAGATCTGGAGTTCACAATAAATGATGCGAATGTGTCCATCCGGGAGCAAATTCGTCAACATGTTCGAAACGTGCCGGATTTCGGATTTTTGTTGATTTCCGTGAATGACCAATGCATTACAGGAATGAAGCAAATTTTGTTCAACTTTTAAAACCAAATATAATTACAATTTGAAAATAAAAAATATGATGCTTATGAGGCAAATTGTTGATTTTTCATATTTGATTTCTAATAAAAAATTTCCGTTTTCAAGTCAAAGTTACCAGAATCATCTTTCGATTTTGGTTTTGCTGTACTTGGTCTCTTTTTTCAGACGTTTTGATTCGTTCAAAGGAGTATCTTCAATGTCTGCCAATGATCCATCAATAGTTGTATCTTCGGGTGCATTTTCAATCTCACCAAGCAGGGGAACCCGATTGTTAGGCTGTTACAAGATTGTATAATGAATCTTAGATTTCTAGAAATGACTAAAAATAAGAGCAAATCTCGACTTAAATTATTATTATGGAAACTTTGATAAAATATTTTGACACTGGATATTTTTCTGACACATTTGTGAGTCGATGAAAACATTGAAAGACAGTAGAAGCAAAATTTTATCATCATTGTGCGAAAAGAAGTAAAAAAAGTAAGATATCTTTCTCATTGAATGACAATTTGGTTAACATCTAAATTGAGGAAATTTCAATCAAAAGCTTAAATTACAATGTTGTTAGGAATGATTTACAAAGGAAATATAATTGGTGAAATACACAGTATTATAAAATATTAAATCACATTAAATCTAGCCAAGCATTTCTTTTGGATTTTGGTTTACACTTTAGTTTGGTTTTGTCTTCTTGAACCAAACTAATTAGTATTTTTAAACTGGTGAAAGCAACAGATTGTTGCTTACAATCAGCAGGATAAGGCAAGTGAAAGACGAGAAAATAAAATGAAAAGAAGGAAATGAACATGATATTTATGCTATAAATAATAAATTTAAATGTGAGTTGTATAGTCATGAATATTTATATCGCTCTCTAATGGTGACGAGAAAGGTTGCGATGTTAATGGTGATGATATTGGTCATGAGTATGGTGATGATGGCGGTGGTGACGATGAAAGTTACGTGTAAGATGATATGTTGTGTGTGCAGTTGTACAATGAGATGTGTTCATGTTAAAGCTTGGATAATCCATCGAGAACAGTAAATATTCTGATTATATTGTCCACACCAATGAGATATCCATCTTCATGATTGCCAATCATCCAGTCTTTTGAATGAGTAATGGTCAAATTTTTGGGAATCGGATGAGTCTTGGCAAAATCAATCATCCAGACATCAGCTTTATTCAAGTCATGAACAAACAAAAGTGAACTTCCAATGATCTTTACAAATGTGTCAGTCACAGTTAACGCATCATCAGTTCCACGAGTTTCAATTGATTCCATTTTATGACATTGGTGAAGAGTGGAGAGAAAAAAATGAGAGAAAAGGAAAAATAAAAAATAAATATTAGATACTATTTGTTTGATTGCCAGTAACTAGCAAATAGACGTAAAAAATAGTATTAAATTTACCTCATGAGTTAGGAAAAATGGTGAATTTACAAGAGTTTGCCTTAAATTTTTCAGCCTTTCCAAATATTTTACCTGAAAAGAAGAGAAAAAAAAGATGAAAAATAAATATTAAACATATGATTAAATATAGATTTGAATAGTTGAGTACAATAACAAACAACAACAAAAGAGGAACAATTGATTTATCAATATTTTTCAAATTATTATCATCGAGACGGAAGTCTATTGACGTAAAAGTCAACCGGATATCCCTAAATATAATTAATGTACTAAAACATCATCAACTTGTCGTTAATTGACTTTAATTAAAAGTGCAAAATTAAGCCTTTTGAGTAAAGCAACCAGAAAAATTGAAATAACAGTTGCAATCCATTGGAAAAACATCAAAGTTTCATAAATTAAACATTGAATTACGGCAGCAATCAAGATACAAACATGAGTTTGAAAACAATAAAGACTAATCATTTTAAAATGATTAACCTCTCAATGTTTCCATTAATTGTATCAGCAAATGAACTACTTGTAGTCAAATGAATAGCGTCTCTGTGAATATTTTGAGAGGCAAAATAGATAAGAGTTAACCATGATTAGATAAAGTAAATTGCTCAGAATTATACATTCTGGTATTACATGTGAACAGTTCATTAAATGTTGATATTAAAACATTATTTCATTTTTATATGAATAAAAATGTCGATTTGATCATGTTATTGTTACCATAACTAGAGAAAGGTAAAGTTTAAAAATAGATTTGATTAAATTCCCGTTTTCTTGTTATCCTTGTTCTGTCTAAATCACGATTAACGTTTTGATGATGATTTTCAAATAATACAACCATAAGGTTTTGCCTTTAATTGGTTGACAAGTTGATCAAGACCTTCAATTAACTATTTGAGTTGATCAATTTTTATCATCTCCTCATTTCAATGGTAATTTCATAGTCATCTTCACCACATTATTTAATCATCATAAAATTGATATTAAAAAAACATCTTTTTGACCTTCTTAGTGCACAATTTATCGATGATTATGGTGAAGACGACAACAGAGATTTGAAAATTACTTCACAGTAAATCTGGTGAATCTGGTAAATCTGGTAAATTTGGTAAACAAACTGTTTCCATCATTATTTATCATCATTCCTTGATTATATTGATCAGCTTTTTACGTCTTTCCAGTGTGACGATTGAAATGCCTTGAATTAGATTAAATTAATCTAAATTGATAGTTGATGGTCTAGACAATCTAGCTTTGAAAGCTCTCCAATTTCATTGTCCATTGATGTCAATGTGTGTTAAAATGACACATTCAATCCTTAATCCAGGATAAAAAAAAGACTAGAAAATATAAAACAAGAAAAGTGCCATTAACAGTCACTAAACCATGAATTATTTATAACCAACATATCAACAGTTAATTTTAAAAATAAAATGTTTAAATATATCCAACATTAAAAATACATTAAACCTTTTCTCATTGGGGCAACCCTTTTATTCAACTTTCTGTGTGACGATAAAATAAAAAACGGTTAACAGAGGAAGATATTAAATTATAATCATGAAGAAAATATTACCGACTGATTGGATAGTAACAGAGAATAGATTGGAAAGCTTATTGAAAAATATCAACATCAATCAAATAGGATAAACACCAGGCAAAAATCGAAAGGTAAGATTCTCATGGTTATGATAATAGCCTTACAACTGATTGTATTGATTATGAAATTTATAGTGATTTATTTTGAAACCATCAAAAAATGAAGCCCAAAATAAATCAGCCTTTCAGTTAAATCGGTAGTACACTGAGGTAATTTCATTTAACTCGGGCAATGTAAGTATAAATGTTTCAAGAGTAGCCTTGATATTACGATCAACATAATAACACTAATGACAGCGATTGTTGAGCTAATAAGATGCACAACAAAAATGTTTCATTAAAACAAATTGAAGCCAAATTGTGAGTCAGTGAAATTGATTGTATGATTTGATAGCAATGGATAAACACGTTTATCGTAAATGACCAAGATGTCCAGAATAGCTTTACTTGGTTATGTTAATCATTTGCCATTAAAGTTATGCAACCAATGGACTTTCTCGTTTCTTGACTTGATTTCTTGGACAATTGAGAATCTGGTATCACAATGAGACAACAAATTGGTGGTCTGACTATGGACATGATGGGAAAGGGACACTGGCATGGGGAGAGAAAGGGTTACAAAGTAAAACTTGTTTAGATTAGCAAGATAAATAGACACGAATATGTTAACTAAAGTTAAATGGTTGAGGAAAAAGTGCCTTTTGCTGTATAATAAAGTATCACAGTTGATTGTAAACGATGAACAAAGGAAAGCTTCAATTGTTCCTTGAATGTCTTTTGTCAGAATTAATTATGAGTGAAAAAGAAAAGTGAAAGCTACATCTTCTCATCATACGATTCCATTCTTAAATGTCAAAGGGTTAATAAGAGGGAGGCTTGAAAGAGGCAAGAAAATGAAGGAGAGAGAATAGCTAATCATCATTTCCCACCCCATCTACAGGTTTTCCAAGGTTTTACCGCCAAAGAACACCTCAACATGTTTTCTCATGAAGTCAATGAATGGTAACTTGAGTCCATCTTCGATATACATTCATCCATCTAAATATAACAAAACAAATGTATAACAATGTAATAAATATAGATTTTGCGCTTTCATTGTTAGTCAATGGTTAAGTCAGTCTGTTGATTAGGAGTAGAAACTCAATTTTTAAACAATGGAATCAATGTTAATGTGAAAAGTTGAGACTGAGGTGATACATTGGTTACAAGCTACAGGTATAATGGGTAAGGTTTGAAGTCTTTTTTTGTCACAGAATGTAGAAGACAAAAAAATGTGAATCAAGTTCAGTTGGATAAGGAATGAAAAAATAACCCTGATAGTCAATTGAGGAATAGAGAAGAGATAAATAGCATAACTACATGAAAAATATCTTTCGAGTCTCTCAACAAAAGAAACAAGTCATAATAATGATAATATAAGTTAATATTAAGACAGACATTATCAAGTTTACAATCTTTCCCCATTAAACTAGCATAGAAGTTCAGGAGCAGAAAAAATAGCTTGTCTTTATATCACTATCATCATGATTTTTCTCTCACATTCATTCTCTCTTTCATTCCCAGAGTCGCATGTTGGCCTCAGGGCGATAGGACTGAGTGAGTGGGAGAAAGAAAGAGAGAGAGAGAGAAAGTGAAAGAGATATCAAATCATCTGGTAAAAAATACGACAAGAGTAAAAAGTGTTTGAAGGACTAAAGAGGAGCTGTATGTTGTTTCCACCATATACATTTAGATTGATAAAATCCTCCATAATAAATTAAACTGTGACCAGAAGCAATCCGATAATTTATTTTCTCCTTCGTTCTCTCTCTTTGATCCACGTCATAATTTGACAGAGATTAGCGTCTCAATGACCTTGAATTGTAATAAGGCTCAATTTCAAAGAAAAAAATGGTCTAATAGAACAAAATTAATATAATTTGGGTCATTCTGTAGCATTCACCAGTTGCTTTAAAATAGCCATAGTTTCTCCTTTTGAAGTCTTTCCATTGGGTTTATTTGCTCTTGCGATTATCATATCAGCATTGAATGGTTTTCTTTATAATCATCTACAATGAACACTATCACCATCTATTCACTTGTCAATGTGTATTGTAAATCAACAAGCATGATAACGAACTAGTAATTAATCAACTTACGATGATACTGTGCCTGTTTTCAGTAAATTTTTGAATGGCCTTGATTATATCTGTATCGCTTTTTGTTGTTTTAAAGTCTCGACTTGTGGTTCCATCACAAAATTTGATTCCATCTATGCGAAATCCTAAAGTAGCTGTTGAACTAATTGTTTCCCTCCAAACCATGTAACGCGGTTTAGTTACAGCTTTTAATCGTCTCTCCTCTTCATTTGGTTCAGCAGGATCAACAGCAATCATCTTTTCAAACATATCTTTTCTTAATTTAGGTTTCTCTCGAGCTTTGATTAGTTCATCTTCCAGATAGGTTCGCAGTCCAATTTTCATATCCATTACACTAGGACAATCAAACTTGGCGAGTAAATCTTCTAATTCTAAAAATTCTGCTCAAATGAAGTACAAAGAAACATGAAAATTTTAAACTGTCATTGAAGTCACTGAATGTTGAAAGAAATAAAAATATCACCTTCTCCATTTGTAATTGATTTGCCTCGAAATTTGGGCACGAATTCACTTAGAGGATCATTTATTAACTTTTGGAAACATTTCTCTTCTTCACCACAGCTTTTCTTTAATATGGTTCCAACGGTTCCTGATTTAAAATTACCTAATTAAGAGTAATGGAAGACAACAAGAAGGTTAATTGATTAGATTGATCAAACATATAAAAAAGAAAGCTTAAAAATGACAAATGAATCATGATGCATATTAATAGTTGACAGCTCAAGAGTTGAAACATTGTTTTGTAGGAAAATTGTCTGTGTGGGAAAATTTTTACAGCCAATTGCATTAACTGATAAGGTATACACAGCAATTATAGCTAATCGGTTAAAATAGAGCAATTTTCACAAAAATGGCAAAAAGTAGCAAAATGGTGAAAATAGAGGGAAATGGAGAAGAAATCAGAGAAGGCTAAAGATTACATCTTTTGAATACAGTTGTAAAAAATCATTGAATTATTCTCACCTTGATGACCAGCTAATTGGACCCAAGGATATTTACGTTTTTTGTATGTTTGTACGAATGGTGACCAGCGTAGTGCATTCCTCACTATCCGCCAGTGATTGAACGACTATTAAGAAAAGTTTCGAAGAGTGTGAAAAGGTTTATTATTAGGCGATCTAAATTGATTTACAATTTTATAAGCACAGATAAGATGTATGAAGAATGAACAGAAATCGAGAAAAACAAATTCTTTAATTATTGTTGCAATAATTCTTGTTCTCGCAGCAAAACTAAGAATCATCTAATATTGGTAAGTTATTTTAGATGTAAAACTTAGTTTTGAGGTGTTTGTTTTGTTCATTTTGCTTTTTGATTCACTAATCGGTTAGTTTGATTACATTTTTCAACTCTTTGTCGGTAGATAAAAGATTATCCATTTGGTTCGTGAATTGGCGCATTTCACAAGATTGGAGAGATTGTTAAGTTATACCAATGAACTTGATTTCTATTAGTTGATTAACTGGAATTTGAGAAACATTGAAAACAAAAAAAATCCAAACGTTACTGTTGCTGTGATAGATAGCGTATCCAAAGTGTAGTTTGACTCAAGACTTGTCTGATATATCATTTATCTTAATCTCGTGTGTTTGCAATGAATATATGGATCAACTTGAAAGGATATTTTTTCGACTGTTTCAATTTTTCACTGAATAAAAAACATTTTTCTTGACGAGTTTCGTTTACTTAGGCAAATCTTACCTGAGATTCATGGTCACCTTCATCGCTGCTGAGCTCGGTGCTACTTCCCTCGGTGTAAACAAGCTCTGCCACGTCAAAAGAACTCTGTAAACTCTTCGAATACTCATCATAACCGAGTGATCTTAGTTTAGGAATTGTTCGAGACACTGACATTAAAATGTAGAGAGCCAAAAATGACAGGAAAAAGAAAGGCAATATAATTTCACCGAGAGAAAAAAACGTAAAGAAAAAAAGCACCAAGAAACAGCAAAGTAAGATGATATCGATGGTGATGATAATGTTGATGGTAGAGAAAAAAAGTAGAAAACTAAACACACATAGAAAATATATTCTTTAAGTTAACAACTATTAACAAAAAAAAGTGAAAATCACAGTTTATCATGAAAATAAAGGACAAAAAACTGACAATCTAACACTAACAGTGAAAAAATCAAACTGATTAGTAAAACCGAGCAAAGAGAACCTACTGTTAAAAAGCAACTGCAGATGGCTCTAGTGATAGTGTTTATCAGAAACAATTTTTGATTACAATGATAATGAAAAATAGTTAAAAATTCATTGTTGATTGAACTTTAACAGTCATAATTATCTGCTATCTATCTGTGATATTAATCAATATGATTTATTGATACTTGTGTAACCTATTTTTTAACCTTTTGACTATAGTTAATTGCCGCTCAATTAATCAATTAATCCAACAGAAACGTACTTTTGACTGGAAATCATTTCATCATAAATTTTCAATCTGTTTGTTTCGATTCTTAATAGCATGTGAGGAAAACAAAGAAACGATTATTGAAGGAAATTGGAAAACAATTTGACAATCTTTTCAAGTAAGATTTATTATTCAGTTTAGGCAGATGATTAACAGTTGCATAATGTGAAAAGACTTGATTTAAAATCATGTGGAAACTTGTTTGATGAAAAAACTACCATTTGGTAATACTATTTGACATCCATAAGCAAGCCAGCTTTCAATAATTTTACATGAGAAACAAATGCAATGTCGAGCCTGGTGTTTTTGATCATAATTGTGAAGTTTGGAGATTTAATTTTGGTGATCTCAACATGATTGTCGATTAATTTTGTTCAATAAATAGTTTTAGCGTTGATCATTGAGTCAAATAAGTCCATCTATCAAGAGAAAGGTGAAAGGTGGGTTGTAAAGGGTAGGAATGGAGATACATTTTGCAAATTTACATCTAATCTGAATACCTTTGTTTCAACATATAATATGCAAGTTACTTATTATGTTAACAGATACTTTGTGAGTTGAGCTGATTTTACATCTCAAGCGAAACTAATTCAACTGAATTTTGGATTTATTTCAAAGGGAAAACATTTCTTGGCTTTATTCGAAAACAAAATTGATGAGACTAGTATAGTACACATGAATATTTGTTTTTTGTTTCTTTTTACTGATTTGATTCTTTTGTTGTTGCAAGGTTTTCATCAAGTTTCACTTTTCGTCAGAGAAGTTCTTTTGAAAGAGAGACTGATTAATGAAAATAGTGATAGAAAGAGGTAAAGAGTTGGAGACAGGGCAGACTTGTAAATTTGTCTTCGGCTAGTGTGAAATGCAATAGCTGCTAAAATTATTGAAATTATAATACAATATCTTGCAAAAAAAGAGTAAGATCTCAAGGAAAGAGAAATGAGGATTCATAATATGATTAGAACTACACGATTTTGACGAAAAGTATAGAGTAATAAAGAAAGCAAGGATGTGGAGTCAGAGTCAGAGAAATAGGGTTTTGAAATGGATTTCAAGAAAGGATGACCAGAAATAGAATGAAGATGCAGGAATTAGATGACAAGGAAGAGAAGAGGTGATTTTTAGTGAACCATTTCAGTAGCTTTGAATTTTCCTTGATTCTGTAATTACAAGAGTTTAATTTGAAAGTTGCATTGCTCCCAGCGGAAAAAGATTATGAGTTGGACTAGTATATGAGTTGACTAAATTTGTAGCCACCATTTGCATGGTTTCGCGAAGAATCTATTCACTTTTCTTTAACATTATTTCCCTTTGCATCTTTGGTTATGGAGCAAGTGTCGCTTCTTCATTACATCTCTTTGTCGATAAGATGATTTTACGTCCTTCTTGATAAATGACTCAGAACCTTTCATCGAGACATCTTTGAATGTTTAGCATCACTGTTTTCAGATTCTTCAAACTCTGGCTTATTCCTTTTCTTCTCGTAAACACAGATTACAGTGCATAAGATTACTACTTCAGCGACAATCCCAAGGAAAGGCCAAAGGGCACCTAATTTATCTTTAACCCGAACATCTACTGTACTGTTGGCTTTGATTCCTCCATTAGCAGCTTCACATATGTACTGGGCACGGTCTCCAAATTTAACATCATCCATGATAAGAGTAGATTTTTTAACAATATTCGATCTACCATCCAATTCTTCATCGAATGTAATATTGAGATTGGTTATTCTTTCTTCGGATCCATTTGAAAACTTTCTAAACCAAGAGAAGTCGATCTCGTCCTCTTTGAAATGTGGTTTCAAAACTACTTCACATATTAAATGTAGATCATCGTTTTCAATTACGTTGAAAGAGTTCATATCTTTGGTATGTTCGGCGGCTTTAAAATTAGTGAATTCAGGCTTTCCTGTAGCATTAATTTAATCAACGTTAATTGTCTTTCCATCAATAATACACATTGCATAAAATGTGCAACAAACAAGTCTATCTTACCTCTAACCCGAAAAGTCTGGTTTGATGTCTTCCCACTTGGATTTCCAACAGAGCAAACATAATCAGCTTCATCGGCAGATTTCCGAGGGTCTTCAATCGTTAAAGTAGTATTATTATTATAAAGCTTGTATCTTTCTTCATTTCCATGAATTCTTATAGATTTTTCAGCATCGATTACTTTATACCTGATAATAAAAGAAGAAATGGAAATTAGTAAAAAAACAACATTGTAATTTAAAAATTATAGTCTAATAAACAAGACTTTCATGAGCTCAGATTTGCAATGAAATGTTTCCATGAAAGAAATATAAATTAGACAAAAATTGCATAAGATTTTCCCTCGAAGTACAATCTATAAATAGATTTGAAGGATAGTTGTAATTTTGATGAAGTTTCAATGATTGGGAATGGATAAAAAAATAGATTGATGTTTAATATCAGTCAGCGAAAAGTTAAATTAAAGCTTGTCGAAATTTAATGACTAACCATTTAATATCAAACCCACTGGACCCAGGAGGTAAACATTCAATTGTGACTGGACCACCTGACTCAAGGTCATATTCCTTACTTCTTTCCATAACCACGAATTCTGAAAGCAAAAATGATATTCAAAAGAGACAATTAGACAGTTAATAATGCAAAAAATAATAAGATATAAAATATATTGAGTGATATTGATCCGATTAGACTTGAGAAAGTGAAAAAGACGCTTTACAAAGTAGATTATTGCAACACCAATGATAAAATTGGAAGCAAACATAACCTTTTTTAGGCTATACCTAGTAGACTAAAGGAAAGTAGGACATTAGTTGTCGAAAGTGAAATGAAATAAAAGAGCTTGAAGAAGGAATGAAACGAGATAATAAATTAAATGTGAAATATATTTTCAACAGGCCTTAGTTTTAAATTTTTAAGCATTCAAATAAACTAAAACAGGTACCAGAATCTTAAATTTGTTTGATCAATATACATGTACATGAAGGAAAAAAGTAAGGGTAAAATTTGGAATAGAGACAAATATAGATAACTTACCTGCTCCATGGATCAACATTAGAAATGGTAAAATAATAATCATGATTAACAATCTAAGGCGTCTTGGTAAACAACAAAAAAACCAAGTAAATTTAATGTAAATTGATTTAAAATTAAAAAATTAATCGAAAACAAATTTCTTTGCAAAAAGAATCAAACCCAAGCTGAACATGGAAAAAGCTAACAATTTTATTGATGCATACTCTCAACCAATTACAGTATTTTGAGGGGATACCGATCTCCCAAAAGACGCACCTCGGTAGAAAGAGGGCGTCCATGCTTGAAAGGTATTTGCGACCTCTATAGGGAAAAGGGATTTACAAAGTAGTGAGGAGGGAGATACAAAGGGAAGAGGGGGGTATTGGGAGAAAAGGAGGAAGTTACAATATTTTAGAGAAAGAAACAACAAAAACATACAACAACAACTACAAAAAAAAAAAAAAAATTTTTTAAAGATAATAAGTACAAAATTATGGAGTAATTATGTTAATTTAAATTAAGTTATTAAATGAAAATTAAGTTAATAAGCTATTGTCTATGCGAGCTATTTCGAATGACGATAAGTCGTTTAGAAAATGGATAAGGTTTTTAATGATAGACTTAGTGTCCTTTTTCGAGGTGTTTTCTAGGTTGAGTCGATTAATGGAGTATTCGTTCCTTATAGAGATCATTGCAGGGCAGTCACTTTCAAGTAAGTGTGGCCAGTCGACTTTATGGGCACAAAGTGTGAGGTGGGTAAATTTTCCTTTAGGAAAAATTAGGTGTTTAGTTAATAAGTAGTGACGAAAGCCACCAATGGCACCGTATGGAGAAGTTATCTTGGTTAGGTTGGGGGTTAAATGTGGCCAGAGTTCATTAAGAGATATTGCGTGAGAGGCGATATGTTGTTTGATCCATACGGCTTGTTTTTTGAGCCACGGACTCGTGGGGATTAACGGTGACGGAAGGTATTGAGGGTCAGGATGGTTCGGAATAAGTTGGGAGCACAGGTCGTTTCTCGTTGACCAGGTCCAAGGTAGGTGTCTTATAGAATAGAGGATTGCATGTAGGTCGGCCACATAGCAGGAATCGCCGCTGATATGTTGGCCCAATTGTGGTGGGATGAATATGTGGGATAGTTGACCCTTCTTTATGAGGGGAATTTGTAGGTAAACCAGGAGGAGAAAGCCATGAAATTGTGAAGTGATTGAGTAATAATGAAAGTCGGAGGTAGATGTTAAATTAAATGAAATTAACAGAGATTTGTTAGTCGCTTTCCAAACGTACGAGGTCACTTGGTAATTCATGCGATCCAGTATGTCTGGTAGGTGGCCTAAGTATCTCGGGGGAAGAAGAGTACCGGTGGTTGAGAAGTTCTTTCCATAAGACAGAACTGGACGAGGTGCAGAAAGGTCTGGCGGGAGGACCTGGGTAAAGGCGGAGGACATATTGGGGTTACGCAAAACCCATTTAATGAGGTCTAACCATAAGTGTTGCAGCGGGTGTGTGATACCATAGATGGCGTTTAATGAAGTGGAACCAGTCCAATAGTTTTCAATGGAGAAAAGGGCTGGGTGTAGGAATGAGTAAGCACGAGTTAGGACATCACTGATAGAGCTTCGTTTGAAGAGCTCGTAACCAATTTTTTTGAAATGAGGGAGTACGATACTGGTCAAGATCATGGCTCTGATTCGCAGAGGTAGATAATTGTACGTGGAAGTAATGCCCATTAATGCGGCTTTTGCAGCATTGTTGATCGAATGTTTAAATTCATTTAATTTAATTAAGGTAGAATGACTGGCAGCGGACATGCCTAGAAGTTTGAGGGGAGGTGCAGAGTTAATGTTGGAATCATAGATGATAGTCTTTTTGGTGTTAAGAGTGAGATTAATTTTCTTGAGATTATCCGACATGAGACTTGTAAGTTGTTGGATGTCTGGTGAATGTAGTGAAGAGACGACGAGAAGAATGTCATCTGCGTAAGCAAGTGTTAGGCAGGTGTCTGACATAGACCTAATGACTTGATCAAGTGCAAAGATAAAGATGAGAGGGCCACTGGAAGAACCCTGAGGAACGCCAATGTTCTCCTCTCTGAAATAGGTACGGTTGTTGTAATTTAATTTAATTAAACGATGCTTGCATAGATTGGTAATTAGTTGACAGAGTCCAGGATCAATAGGGGTCAGACGTAATAATAAGTTATCAATGGAAACTTCATCGAAGGCATTAGTAATGTCCAAAGAGATGTAAACAGGGGAGGTGACATTGTTGTTGGTTGCTCGAAGGTAATAGTCAATTGAAGAAACGTGCCGCTGAAATGCAAATTGGGAGTAGGGTTGGAGGAAGGTACTCGCCAGGTTCCCGAGCTTATAGCTTATCAGTTTGTCGACAATCTTAAGAAGGAAGTTTGGAGATTTGAGAAGGCGCATACGTCTGGCATCGGACTTGGGGATGAAAATACCACCGAAGACCCGGAGTTCAGGCGGAATATATGAGGTTCGAAAGAGGAGAATGATGGTTTGTTTGATTTTAGCATTGTTTTTCTCAAGAAATTTCCTCCAAGAGGTCTTGGTAAAGGAGTCCGCACCTAAGGAGGTGTTGCTTTTGACGGCTGAGGCCTTTTTCCAATCGTGGTTTGAAAATTTGCAAGGGATAGGAATACATGAGTCTTCGAGAATGACAGGTTTTTGAGGGGTGAACGTTGCCAATTGGGCCGCCAGAGAGGCGGACTGAAATGTATTTAAATTAATTTCATTTGAAATATTGCCGTGGCGAGACCGTTGTAAAAATTTAGAGCGAAGCCAATGCCATATCTGTTTCGAGTCTTTTTTAAGAAAATGGGAGTAGAGCAAAGAAGGAGTGAGATACAATGTTTTCTTGCGTCTAAGTTTATCTTTGATGGTTGTATGAGCTTCCCAGTTTTGATGTCTGGCATATCTTTTCCGCAGTCTAGTCAAGCGACGGATTCCAGATGAACGACTTGGTGGAGATACTTTAAGAGTAAATGAGGAGTGGTCAGGGAATGTAAGAATCTTAGTACAGTTGCGACGTACTGTGGCTTGCTGGGTGGAAGGTAGAATCTCGCCAGGCAGGAGACTCAAATTTAAAGTCCAATTGGTAAATATTCGTCGGGAATGTGGAGTAGGTCTCGGTGAGAAGTAATGATTTGGAGTCGAGATCCCCAGGTTAACTTATAAAGA